ACGCAGTAATCTAGTTGATTAAATCGTCACGCGGCGGCTTTTATACGAATGAGAATAGAGGGGTTATTTTAAGGTTTTGTTATCCTGTGAATTTAAATTAGCCTTCTTTAAATGTCGCAAACTTTCAAATACTATTTTCCACGAAATTTTTGCATATTGTTTTCGTAATCTTATGTGTGTTTCTTGGTTATTTGAGTTGCGTGTTAGGGCTTCTTGTTAAGTAGTAGCAGTTGGTGATTGAAAGCTAATCATCAATAGCATCTCAACTAGAGGAAAACCTGAAATGGCCTGAGCCTGAGTAATACCTCTATACTCTTTGCTAAGAAATTCATTTTACTGAGCTTGCGAGGGGGAGGGAAGACTTCCATAAGAAATGCTTGTCGGAAATAAGGATTAAAACCCCTACGGGACACTAATCGGGGCGCGGCCTTTTGCTCTTAGCTGTAATTGACCCCTTATGGATCAAGAAAGTATGACGGGATTTGGTTTTTTTAGTAGGCATTTCTTTAGAAAAAAACCCAAACTCATCCTCTCTAGCCCTCAGCGATACCTTAATGGGTAAAACATTGAATTTCTACCCTGCATACCCTAAGTATGACCACTCGAGCTTCCAAGTCCAATTGGAGCCGATGGGATCGGGTTGTATATATCTTTTGACAACTCACCGTGAGCACCTAAGGGCTAATTTTAACCAAATAAAATTTTCGAGGGAACATAAGTGACATAAAAAGATCAAGAATGTGAAATATCGAAACTGTGGGTCCAACCATTGTTGGCTCCCGCCATAATCTTTTGCTGAATATGTCAAAAGTCTTAATTTTCTCATAACTAATTAAGTTCATCGGTGAAAGTAAAAAAGAAAAAACGAAACAACAACAAAAAAAAACAAATTAAACCATAAGTCAATGTCTTAACAGACACAGGAAAATCTAACTTTTCTTTGGATTCGACACCGATTTTGTGACTTGCTAGTTATGGTGTTACTACCTTCTAGTAACCTCTTTTCTTGATTTCACTGTAGATGTAAACGGGGGAAAGTCTTTAAACACACAAACGCCAAACAATTTTGTTTCTATTATTGATCAATATGATTTCAGACATCAATGAGTGCAAAGAAGGAACCCAAAATTGCAGTTCTAATGTTGTTTGTAATAACACCCACGCATCCTACAACTGCACATGTAAACCAGGATATGAAGGGGACGGAAACAACTGCACAGGTGATATTTTTCGTAATTTAGTCATTTTGCGTGCCATCAAAAGCATTGCTGTTTTTATTTTTCCGTAATAAGATGCTCTTCATATCAATTTTTGCTGGACAGTAGACCATATTGCCTCAATCAAAATTTTAAGCGGAAAGTTTATAACACTTGGTACCGTTTATTTTTACTGTTTTATCTCCCTCCACAAGAATCTTAATTTTTAAAGGAGGTGGGATTTCATGAAAGAAGAAGAACATCAATGGCCGACAACAGAAACTTTTTTTTTCCTCATGTATTTCTTTTCATACTACAAACTAAGCTTGCCAATGTTTAATATGATTCCAGACATCAATGAGTGTAATGCGGGAACTCACAATTGCAGTTCTACTGCGTTTTGCAATAACACCAAAGGATCCTATAACTGCACATGTAAACCAGGATATGAAGGAGACGGAGATAACTGCACACCGTCAGGTTCGTAATATAACTTGGCCATTTTGTATACCTTCGAAAGGATTGCTGTTTTTATTTTTCCATGATAAGACGCTCTTTATAGCAATTTTTTTAGATAGCAGACCTTATTACCTCAAAATTTTAAACGGGAAGTTTATAATGTTTGGCATGCCTTGTATTTTTGATGTTTTGTCTGCTAACATAGCTGGCATAAGAAACTTTGCTTTTTTGTTTTTTCTCATATATTTCTTCTTTCTTCTCAGTGCTAGCCTCACTGTTTAGATAGATGAGAGGAGTTCCCTCGCTGCGTCGGTTGGTTCAGAACAAGCCAAGCGCTCTGATCCGCCGTGAAGAAAACAAGGTTGAATAGACCTTGTCACGGTTTTCGACACCATGTTGACGAGTAGGCAAAAGTGTGAGAAATTACAGTTTTTGTATGAGAATCTAATGTTGAACAATTCCCGTTGCATGAGACTTGGAAAGGACAGCCGTTTTATGGGCACGCATCCATAGATCTGCTGTGTGAATACATCACATCGCACAAAAATCACGGAACCGCTTCGAATAGATTTAACTTCCATCCGAGGCTCCGACCAAACACAAGAAAGCTGTGACCCCAGCCTCGATAAAATAACGATCTGTTACGCCCCCATGAAGGCTTCATGAAAGCACGATCTTAGTTTCGACATACGTACGATAAAGGCACGATTTTTACACCATCAATGGAATTTAAAATCATCGTGTGTTGTGGATTTTATTCCTTATAACAACAGTCTTTGTAACTTATTGTACTTGTCTCATTCTCATTCTCATTCTCGTTCTCATTCCCACTCCCATTTTTATTCTCATTCTCACGACAATTAATTCATAACTAACTTGACAGTTTTAAATCTTAATCTTCAGTTTGCGACTCAGATTGGAACAGATACGGAGAAAAGTGCTACAAATTATTCACATTAGTCAAAAATTGGAACAACGCCAAAGCTACCTGTGACAACCATGGCGCCAGTCTGGTGAAGATTGAATCTCATGACGAAAATAATTTCATTTCAGCTACATATCTAACAGGCCGAGTGGATTACTGGATTGGACTGTCTGACGCCGATCATGAAGGTGTATGGACATGGGTTGACGGAACTATATTGACTGGTTATAACAACTGGAGAAGTGGCCAACCAAATGATGCCAACAGTGGCCAGGGCTGCGCAGGAATACGAATGGGAATTCATCATAACAAGGAGTACGACGCAGAGTGGCACGATAACTCATGCCAGAACACGAAAGGATTTATTTGCGAAAAGTGACAGCTATTATTTCTCAACTAAAACAATGCTCTTAAGTGTGTAGAAACACAAAATTCCTTTTTTCGAGTTCCAACTTAAGGAAACCCTCGAGAAATTATTTATCGTTATTCATTAAACCGACCGAAACACGTTGGTCGGTTGCTAGGGCGTTTCCTCCCATACCTCTTAAAACTGAGAGTCTTAGACAGAAGTAGAAAGCATCGAATGTGACGAAACTTGGCAGGGATGAAGGTTGATAAACTACCTGTTAATTTTGTTGTTTGTTTTGTATTATTTTTTCATTCCATGTGCTGGTATTGTGACGTCATAAATGATGCCCAAATTTGGCATCAGAATAAAAATTCAGGAAAGAAATGGTCATAATTTTATATTAGTTTTCTGCGCAGAATTCTATGATTTCTATGATTTATGGTGCAAACCACATCTCAATCGTCATTATGACGTCACAATGACGTATTTCGCGATGAAATGCGCGTTATAGCACCACATACACTAAGTAGAAAAAACTGCAATTTTGATTTTATGTAGCTTTGTCCTAGCTCCTAGTTTTGACCATATATAGCTATTTGGCGGTAAATTTGATTGTCTTTTATTAGCTGTAACTTCACGCCATTTTATCCGATTGAGATGGGGTTTTCGTTTGTGTTGCAGAAATGTCTCTAACTTTTTGAACACCGCTTCAAATTTTTCATGTTGTTGCTAATGACAGGTGTCACTTATGACGTCATAGTTTTAAGAAACGTCAAAAATACCTTTACAGTGGCAAAAATTGTAAAGAAACTTTTTCTCTAATTAAGATGTTCTAATGTCTTGCTTCATTTTATGTAAACTACTCCTCCGACCAAATTCAATTCAAACTTTGAAATACGTCTGCGTTTATGGGCTAAATGTTGATGTATATATTAACATTTCTAATATATAGAAGCGAAGCTCCCAATATATAGAAGCGAAGCTTGTAATATATAGAAGCAAGACAAGACAAGAGAGACAAGTTTAGTGATGGTCAGTTGCTATGGTTACGAGATGTGACGTCATAAGTAGCAGGTGAAAACACATGTTTTTTTTTTCAATTTCGTTCAAAAATAAAAGTAAATCTTGTGGCTAAAATCATGCAATATACTCATTCATGTGTTATTTTCCACGTAAAGCCCAAAAAAGTTACTATTTCTCGCGATTTTAACATGATTTTTAATTCTTGATAAAATCCAAGATAGCGGCCAAGATGGCCACCGTTGTTAACTGACCGGCTTAACTGACAGACGACCAATAACATCGCGACATAATTGACCAATCAGATCAATAACCAGAGTATAATACCATCAACTGACGTGATACAACTCACTTTGACTCTGAAGATGACTACCGCACAGGTTGTCGAAACGTCAGTCACTGTCAACAACAACAGTCCTATTCAGGACTACGTTCACCCGGACGATCAGACTCAACCTTTTAAAATTAATATTATAAGTTATAATGTTAGTTCCAGTCACATCGATCATTTCAAGAAGACGGCTATTCCTCTTCTTGACTCCTTAATCATCCATATGCGAGGTCGATTTTCTGACAAGATGGCCACGCCCGCCATCTGCTTTGTGTCGTACCATCGATTATAGTAAATAAGGCACTGCAGCTGGATGATGAAGTAGAAGGGCATGCTGTTCTGGGAGAAAGATATTCCATTTCTCAAACCCCTTAATGGAAATTAGGTACTAAGGACATAGAAAACACTCTGGCAGTCAACAGAGTCTCAACAGATAGGAAGCTTCCAAACAACCTTCTATTAACATCTGGTGTTTGCGATGAAGATGCTTTTTCAAACATTTGTCGCCTTCTGGTCATTGCCTTCACCCTACCGATCACAAACGCAGAAGATGAGCCGTCGTTTTCACTGATGAAATGAATCAAGACCTGCTCTAGGTCAACAACGCCTGAAGAGCGATTCTCTGATCTCGCAGTAGATCGTTACATACTACTCCGATATGCCAGCAAGCCTTTGTAAAGGCTCATCCAAGAAGGCTCTTTCAAGCTAGTCTGTTTGGCAAACAACTATCGTTGTTGCACTGTACTCTTAGTCCTTAATAATAGTGTCTCAAATTTGAAAGATTTATACCTCTTCAATTAAAATGTCGAAAATCTACGTATTCAAACATTACCCTCCAACTCCCCCCCGCCCCCATTCCTTGGCCCCGGGGGACGTTTGCCTTGAACTCTCATACTTACAACCCCCTCTTTGAAAAAATCCTGGATCCGCCCCTAGGGGAGTGCGTTCGATATGTTTGATAGGCGCACAGGTAGCAGTTGCGAGAGAAGGGTGGATGATTCTAGCGATAGATAAATAACAATTATTCACTGAAGTGGAGGTGGCTAGTGTGTGCTCATGTCAATAACGTTTTCAGTAATTTGGTCGAGTTTGTTGATTTCAGTAACTTGAGGGGCGCTACTGTGGGCTGGTTTAAAAGTTTTTCCGAATAAATAACATAGAGCTAAAATGTTTGTTTTTCCGGTGCCGAAAATATAACAAGTCAAGATGAAAAGGCACCGCCGAGCTTCACATCGCGGTAGAGATACTTTGTGGCAACCTCCGATTACTCCTAGTAATATATCACCAGATTTACTTTGTGTGGCACAACGGCCGCCGAGCTACTACACCACTCGGTAGATTTACTTTGTGGCACAACGGCCGCCGAACTACTACACACTAAACTCGGTTAGAATTGTGTGGCACAACGACCGCCCAGCTACACAACTCGGTAGATTTACTTTGTGGCACAACGGCCGCCGAGCTAAACAACCCTGTTTCATTGATGCATGCAGCAGGAGTCGCACACATTTTCCAAAGACAGTGACGAACCATGCTGAAAATATGAAGGCTTAATCCAAAGTAAAATTTTACTCAGGTTATTGAACGCTTTGGAAGATCCAACAAACGCTGACAAGCACAGATCGATATGTACGCTTTACGACGACAAATATTAAAGAAGAACGCCGCGGACACATGAATCACCATGTGAGTTAGCGCATCAAAGTAAGGCAACTGTGTGTCGACACAAATGCAATCTAGAAAAAAACCTCCCTTATTACAAAGAGTTGCTATGATGTTATTGCGTTCGAGGTACGAGAACACAACTCCTAATTTGTGTTGGGTGTTTTGTGCATTATTGGGTGTCATGTGCAATTAATAAGGGTGGGTAAAGAAGGTCGAACTGCATACCTCAGTTTGTTGACTTGTATCTCTCAGGATGGAAACGACCAATACTAGAGACAGAGGATTCAACCATTCAACTTTGCCTTACTCCAGAGTTAATAACTGCAAATGCCTCTGAGGGCGTATTGTGAAGAATAATTTCAGATTAAAAGTGATCGAAGAAAAGGCCTATGTCACACAAAGTGAATATCTGATCGGCGCAGCCTCTTCCATCGTGGAATCTTTCCTGTTTTTCTCTCATGGGAGGACGCAGGGGGGTTTTACTGGAAGTATACAGTACTATGCAGAGCTATAAAGACCTTGTGCGCAGTTAATCCCATTTAATATGTCACGCTCCTCGAAAGTGCTAACAGTTCTGTATTAAATTTCAGCATACTTATCATATGATATACACCGCAAGTTAATCTTCATTTCGCGCAAGAATATATTTTTTTGCGCGCGCGCATTAAAAGTCCCTAAAATCACTCGGTTCCTTACACTTCCTGGAAACGGTAACCTGAGATCAGGCCCAATTTTAGCGGTTCTCATACATTCTCTCTAACGGCTACCGCTAAAATTGGGCCTGATACAAACTCTCTCACGTTTGTGATCGTTAATTTTGGCCGTAACGCTGATTGGCTGTTGGAACAATGCCGCAAGATCTGATTGGCTGTCGGAAACGCCGAAAGTTGAAAGCGCTTATTCCTCGCGTGGTTGTTTTCGTGAATGATCCGCCGTCGGCAGAGAGAAGGATCGCTTTTGCTGTCTTTTTTATTGTTTTATGGTCTTATGGTAGGAAAATATGCCTTAATTTGTGCATGGAAATTCAGAAAATGCATATATATGGTTGTTCATATCTTCTCAGGATTTGCTTTAGTTACGGAACTAATGTGAGTCTATCGCAGAGTTGAATCCCTATGCAAGTTGTTGACCGCTAATAACAAGGTGCCTTTTGATTTACCAACAAACGAGTGCAAATCAAAATACTGTCCATCTTAAAACTGGTTTCATTTGAAAGTTTGGCCAGGAATGACTTCTCTGAACGGGGTACGCAAGCGGAGGCTTACTGCGAAAGAAACCTCAGTCGCCAACTGTGAAGTGTTAGACGCAAATATCGCATCGCTGTTCAAAGAATTTTTGTAGGCATTATTATAAAAGCTGGTGGCGCTAGTCTTAAGGTAACAGACTTGTTGTTTGCCTTCGCTTTTTGTAAGAAATAAACCAGGAAAACTGGTGTCCTCGCTCGTTGGCTGTTTGCTGTTTGTTTATTTCGATTAATAAATTTAGCGAGCTTTTAAGACCTGCAGTAAAACAACAACACAACTAAGGAGAACTACAAAGTGTGTTTATAATATTGTTTCTCTTTTTGTTTATAGGTCAGTTGAGCATACAGTTAGTGGCAGATAATATTTACCTGGATTTTTTAAATATATATATATATATTTATTAAAAACTGAATCATTGGATAATGCAATCCTAGCATTTTGATTGGCTTAGCCGTTATGGTATATTATACACTTAATGTCAGATCCCAAGGGAAACAGTTAGTTTTGTTTTCCCGAGAGTCCTGATGTTTCCCGAGACGAAGTCGAGGGAAACATCAGGACTCGAGGGAAAACAAAACTAACTGGTTTCCCGAGGGATCTGACATTAAGTGTTTTGTTATATTTCTAGAACTTTCACTTCAACAGCAACAAAAGAATAACCGGAGCGAACGAAAACGAACCAAAACAGTCGACTCGGTACTTAACACAAATTTAATTCTCAAAAGCACTGAATGAATGATTTACAAACAAAAGTGCTTTCCTTATATCATCTGCATCTTTTTCCTCCACTAGCTGCTGTTTTTCTTCTGGGAACTTCTGGGATAACTTTAATAAAAATCGTTGCTTTTTAGCTTGAGGCTTCGTGATTGTGTTGTTGTGTTCATTCACGAAAAAGAAAACCGGCAGGACCTGGCGGTGTTTTTCCCGCATTCTGTCACGCCACTTTCTACCATGCTTTGATCACGTGCTGCAATGTATCCCGAGCGGGATACATTGTTTAATGTATCACGATCGGGATACATTTGATTTTAGTCAAGGCCACGTGACCAAGAATCAACCAATGGCAGTCCCTGTTTAGTTGAGTGAAATTCTAGGAATATAACAAGAGCTAATATACCATGTTCTCCATATATGGTCGGTGTACGCGTCAGTTTAAAATTGGAAGCTAGCTGAGATTTTTTTCGCGAAGGATAGAACGGCGCCCGAAGCAAATCGTTTTAATTCATTTCTTAGAATACTAGAAATGCAATTTCAACGAAAGAAAAAAGACAAAAACAAACAAAAAAGCCACAAGAGCTTGTTTGAAAGTTTGTCGAAAAACACATGGAACTAAAGTACCTTGACCAGCTACGAAAGAAGACAAGTGTTGTTTCTTCATGATCGCGAAGCCATTCGCCGATCGAGTCACTCGCCGATAGATAACTGCAGCTTGTTTAGCCAACATCAAGAATATAAATCACAAGTAACCAGCTACAAATACAGGCTTTGCAGCCATTCACTTGAGCAATCGAGGCGGCAGTATAGCTTCTTTTCTCGTTCAGCAAAACCAGCTTGTGGCTCTTCAAACAACTTCATAACAAGCGACGAGGTAATACTGGTAGTTTTTCTCCGTTGTTCTTACTTTTATAACTGCACCGAAAATCCAAATTCATAGTAATTTCGACGGCTGTCACTTAAAAATTCCTTTCCTTCACATTATCTGCCAGGTTTTTTAAGCTGTTCTGCTGTGTAAAATCCTAGAATCACGATGAGTTTTTAAAAAACTAATGTTCATCGCACAATGTTTTGATTTTTCATTCACGCAGTCTAGGCGAGCCCGTTCGCGCGTTGACAGTTTTGATAGACGTGTGACATGTCAATAGCGGAAGTCCCTTGTCTTTTCCGGTTTGTTCTAGTCGGGGCCATTCAACGAGATTTTGTGGGCGTTTTTAATAAAACAATTATTCCACTCGGGCTTGTTGGATATGAAATGATTATAGCCAACTCGGCGCTATGCGCCTCGTTGGCTATCTATCATCTCATATCCAACGCGCCCCCGTGGAATAATTGTTAAATAAATAAATATATATATATTTAGACGTTTGTTTCTCTAGTAAATTCGCAGATATTATTGAAAGTGTACGCACAGGACGAGTTTCAATTCTCTTGAACAGAAAATATATGCTTGAAAATATAACCTTGCCCCATGGTCAAAAAGTTTAATTCCGACAAATATTTTCCTTCCTTATTGTAACACTGCTCAGTCAATCATAAAAGGCCATGAAAAAAGGAAATGATCAAAAAGTGACAAAAGCTCTTGTTTGTTAGACAAATTTTATTTATCAGTATCATAGGAAACGTATAAAGGATAGTCTTGGTGGAAGTGCATTTTGATGTTAGGGTTTACTTGGTCAGAACAATTGCAACTTACAGCCCAGGATGGGTTAAAGTGTCTGACTTTACCAATAACAGGGCCCACTCTCTACAGGTTGGTTTTCACTAGCACATTAGCATAAGCATAAGGACATACACACGTGCAGAATGGCATATTTGACTTACTTCTCGATACCAGCTCTCCTCAACCCGATGATAAACAAGATGGCGAACGAAGCGTCTGCCACATTGCTTTTGGTATGCTCACATAAGGTCTGGGTCAATGTGACCTATTTTTGGTCTACGGCTTTGTGCTTAGCTTATGCTTGTGTTTATGCCAACCCTGTTTTACAACATAAGCAAAAGCACAAGAAGAACGGCCTTGTTTGTTTTTCTTGTGCTTATGCTAATGCTTATGTCACCACAGTTTTCACTTGTATTGCTTTCGTCATAAAAAATGTGCCAAATCGCGTAAACAAAGCCAGTTTACATGCAAATTTATACTGACTTCTGTCCGCGATATATCTGATGGATCGCACCATATTAAAGGGCTTCTGATAGGTCGTTATATTAAAAAAAGGTGAAATTTCGCGGGATTTTCGGAGACAGATTTGCTGAAAGTCTCGGGGCTAACCTCGCCAAAAAACAATCGGTAAAAACGGCCCATTTCGTGGGAATTTTTTGGGCAAATTTCGCTAGAAATCGATCGATTTTGCGCTGATTTGATGAGCGTGTTTAATGTTTTTTTAACAGAGACAATCATTTGCTATTTTAACAAAAAAGCGCTCGAGAAATAGCCAAAGGCAACGCTTTGAACATCATGACTAGTGCCCAGGTTTTTGCAACATAATTTCCGCCTGGCAGTTTTGGTACGTTGTTCGCTCGTTTGTGGTAATGATGTTTCAAGATAAATTTGCAAGTTTACGGCAATTAGACAGCCCCAATAGCCGAGATAAGTTTCAAATAGGTTGTATCGACATGTATTTGTTAAGATTTCTAGCGAATTTCTCGTTGCATGTTTTTGTGAATTTCGCGGGATTTCGCAGATTTACCTGAATTTTGCGGCTCCACTTCCGTGTCAGACGCCCTGATACTTAATGAACTGCGTCATTTACATTATACAAACTGGCGACTAAAAATTTGCATCTGGCGACTATATTTCTACAGTTGGTCGCCAAAAGGCGACATGAGGATTTTTTTTAATTTCGAGCCCTGTTATAACTGGCAGGTATGTTTTACTTCGTTTGGTTTTTAGGGCATACAAACAACAAACATCCCTTAGTTGAAATTAGCTGATGGCCTCCACAGACTGGATAAGCTTATTTTATTGTCGACAACGGTTTGTTTTTGACAACTAAATGTTATCGACAACTAAAAAAACGCAGTGTGTGAGATGAATTGTCGACAACTCAACGCTAAATTTTACTGTTGTCGACAACTAAACAGTTTCCCTCGTTAGAGTGGTCTCAGGACCTTTTAGATAACATTAAAAGTTATCGATCTGAAAAATTAAAGGAGTCCGCAACTATATTTGAAGCAAATAACTCCAGTTAAATCCCTGTCATTCACGTATCACGAACTGGTACCTCTTAGGTGTAGATACAACTTTTGGCCACCCTCTTAAAACCATACTCTGGCCACCTTGTTTTTTTTACCATTTTCAGACGAGCAACCCTGTCATTTTTTTAGGGGATAACCCCCCCCCGCCCCGGGACCCCATTCAGTCTAAGGGAACGCAAAGAGCCAACGTAGAATCAGCTGCATCATAATTATTCTAATACTATTCTTTTGTTACTTTTTTATTGTTTTGTATGTTAATTGAGGGAAGAATATGATTTTTTTAAAAATAATTAATGGGGGAGAATTACACCTTAAGATTTTGTCCTTCCTCGTACTAATCTTACACTCTTCAACTTTCTTTTCACAATTACAAATTGAGGTACGTAGACGGCGTCTGAGTGGCACTACATTAAAGGTCAAAAAGAGGAAGCCACCAGATAAGAAAAAAAAAAAAACAAAATAACGTCTGTAGAAGGCCCTCACGGTGTTCCATCCTCCAAGACTATTTCGGGAACAAGAATGATCCTGGAGGCTTTAAAAGAATTCAACGTGAAATAGAAGCTGCACATCGAGATTATTACGTGAGTAAGGTAAATGTGAAAGCCTTGGTGACTCTTCTCATCGCGCATTTCAACTCAAAAATGAGATCTATTTATGACATGCCAACAGTTCAACAGTTTTGCTATCAATTTCCTGCTGCCTTAGAAGAAACTCTCAAAAGAATCAGTTATTGTGGCTTCACCTGTTTTACCTCGCGATACTCGTATTATGACGATCCCGATGGGATGTTTGTCTTTAAAGTGATTCACAAGGTTCCCAGCCCTGTAGAACAAAGAAGATGTTGAAAAGATTAGGCTGTGGGGGAGAACTTATGGTGATAGCACATAACAGCTGAGCGTCAGAGCGAAATCCTCCAAAGACAATCCAGGCACTTTGCCTATCAGCGCCTATGGCCGACGGAAGCTTCCAAACAATCCAGCGAGTTTGGAGGACCTCACTGAAAGATTGGAAGAAGAAACCGTAACGGCTGCCGTGAATGAAGAAAGTGTTGACAGAGAGGAGAGTATTGCACTTGTTGAGAACAAGACGATGTGATACTGATCGCTAAGCTCAAAGAGATCAGTGGACCCTTTATTTTAGGAATATATCTAATTTAAACAGAATTTACTGTCTACAAAAGCGGGCTGTGCCAGCCATTACAAATTTAGAACATCGAGCACATACTGCTCGTAGTCTCCAAATTGAAAATTTTAGATATTTTCCAAGTCAATACGCTTGATACTACTAAATTTATGTTTCGCTACCACAATAATCTGCTGCCTCCACTCTTCACTGACTCTTCCGCAATCTGTTTATGACAAACAGTCAAGTCCATAGATATGACACAAGAACAGCCAGTAATTATCGAGTGCATTCCTGTCGTACGAACATCAAGAAATTCACAATTCTTTACCAAGGACCTAGAATCTGGAACTGTCTTCCTGCATCTGTTACAAACTTGTCAAGCTTTTCTATCTTTAAGAAAAAAGTGCTAGAGTTTTTATTAAAATAGTTACTGATAGGAATTAGTTTAGCCGCACTTCTTCGCAGCCCTTATTTCTTATAATATTGTGATGTCGAGGTGGCCTCTCTATATAAGCCTGGTGGTTTCATGAAGTCTCCTCACGTCACAACTTGCTGTATCCTGTAAAATTTGCTGCAACAAAAAGGCTAATACATGATGATGATGATGATGATGATGATGTTGATGATGATGACGATGATGATGATGAAAGATTGAACAAAATCTTAAGAGAACTTCATCTAAAGTAAAAACACACCTGTACGCAAGCGATCCCGACAATTGTCTAATATTCAATTACGAGTTCACCGCTGAGGTAAAGAAACATCTTGTGCTTGGCACCGTTTGGGAAGTGCGGTTCACAGACGAAGATTTTCATATCGATTTAAACCAAGAGCTCTACGAAGAATGTCTCGAGTGTACAAGGGGGGTTTGAAGGAAGGGCCACGACTGATGTGGATGAAGAAGAACTTGAAGAGGAACAAGATCCTCTTGTCAAAACAACCTCTTTGGAAGAATTCAAAAGCTTCCAAACCGTTTTTTATTGAAAACACGGCCTAATTAAAGCCCAGTGAGTAGAGCGGTAGAGAAACTCAGAAGAACTCATGAAGGTAACAATATCTTCTCTTTTTAACCATGTATAGCTAGAGTAGCTAATTTATTATTTGTCGTTGTCATTTATCGCGTGCATTTCCTCTGAACTTGATAGCCATATTTATAGGAATTAGGCACCATACAGAATTACATTTACTTTAACCCAAAGAAGGATTTACAAAATTTCGAGCAATACTGACAAGAAAGCGAGCAATGCGAGCAACTGCAAAAATATTGGAAGCACGAGCAAGCGAGCACTCGTTTTAATTTTGCGAGCAAATCGAGCAAAGGTAAAATTTTGCGAGCAGTTACAAATTTTAATGGACCATAATTTAAGTTTTGACGTTAATGTCAAAATTCGACGGGTGGTATGGAACTGTTTACCGGTATAGTATAAATTACATCCCCGTTGTAGCTTAACCGCACTTAATGCACTCGACTTTTCGGGAGACTTGCGATCCGAGAACAAGGCAGAGCTCATGGGTGTTGTTCTTCACTACAGTATTTTCTTTATGCTGTACATGCATTCTTTAAAAATTTGCTTCGGCTGTTTGGATGGTAAGTTCTTCTTTTTCCGCCTTGTTGTTTCAATCATATTTGGCTCGCTAGTTTCAAAAACTGAGCGTCAATATAGTGACAAACACATTTATCTCTTGAAAGAAGATAAAAAAATTAAAATTAGCTAGACCGACTGTAAAAACTGGAAACAAAGAGTAGCTGCAAAATTTTCTGCTCTAATATACTGCCCATACATATGACTTTTTTACGGCTTGCGGTTAATTTCTCTTCTTTACAGTTAACAGACATATGCAAAAAAGTCAGTTCACATGCAAAAAGTTCCGTAGAATTAATTTTCGTGGTTGCAAAAAATTTTAAGGCTCGTAGGACTCCAAGGACCGTAGTTCCCGGATATGTCTATTAGCAACGAGGGGAAAAGATGCAAAACGTTCCAAACAAGCGTATTCGAAACTCTCTGAATGACAAATTTTGGTTGGGGACCTTTTCACTATTAACCTCTTTTTACAACTTCTAGCGATTAAGCCATCTTTGTAGGCTTTCATTGTATTATTTAGCTTGTCTGGTCGCCGGCAAAATTATTGCTCTACAAGAATGTAGTTACAGAAACGAAAAGAGACTAGCTATTATTAGTGAGAAAAAAAGGCTGCTAACAATGTCAGTGTGCGAGGAGTTTTTAGTCCCTCTTTCCCTCTTAATTCTTTTCGTTTCTTGTCAGTTCGACTTGTCACTTTCCTTTCGCAGGCCAAGGCTCCTTATTGTCTGTTCTTATTATCTATATTTTTACTTTGGACCCCTGCCATATTAACACTCTACGTTAATACGACCCTAGTTGTACCCGTCTTTAGTTAAGTTGACGAAACCTTTTCTAGCTCGAAAATGTCCTGCCATTTAATTTCCTTATTCGAAAACCTCGTTCAATATGACCACTTACTTTTATGGTGCTATATGGGTTGTACCACGTTGATTAATACTACCATGTTTTTAAAGCCCAACGGTCATCGTATTAACGCGAATTTTATTCTACTCAACTGTCCTTGTTTCCTTTGTGGTCCATTTAATATATATGTTTAAGACGTTCACTGAATGTTGGCCTTTTTTCAGAATAAATATAAATGTACTCATAGACGGTTAAGGCTAAATAAATGTTATTTATTTTTGTTCTCTTTGGGGGTGAGTCAGTGTTAATTGCCATTATAGAAATTTTCCTTTGAATTCAGAAAATCTATTTTATGTTTTATTCTATTTAATGCAAGGATTTTTTTACTCATTCAATCATGCAGCTTCTAAACAGACTGACTAAATAACATGGCAACCTAATGAATGTTGAATTAGTGGAAACAAGAACGCGCTTACAGCGGCATTCACGTCTCGCCTGAAAGGAGATTAGATCGAGAAATGAGGAGGTGATTAATTCTACAAGAAACATGATTTACTCGCTTAAGGTTTTTTACTTCCTACTTTATCGACGTCGATACTTTTTATTTGTTTCTGAATTGATTTAGAACGCATGTTAGCGACAACCAAAAATACCTCTCCGGTAGCAGGCTATACGCGTGCATAAATACACGGAAATTCAAGGGCCTCGATTCCAGAGAAATTACATCATTGCCAGATATCGAAAGAGTGATTTACATGCACGTCATGTCAATCATCGCCGAAAATAAATCGCATGCTCGTCACAACACTCATTGCATACAGTGAATTATCCAGTTGCCAGCGGACTCAACGAACAACATGGAAACCTATTTAAAAGTTAAATAACAGGAGACAAGTGTGAGAAAATTTTTAAGAAAATTAACATAAAATTGAGTTTCGTTGTTGTCACTGCGGATTAACCCTCACACCATAAACTCGTTAACAAGGAGAAAATTTCTAAGAAACAAAGAATTCTGTTGAGTTGAGTTGAGTTTATTATTTCCCATTTCTGTTATTTGCGTGATAAGGGAAAAATTTTTCACAATAAACACGACAGTTTACCACTATTCAAGACAGGTGGCCATGGGAATACCATCTTCCTATTTTCTTGTTTTCATCCTTTTCATTTGGCTTTTACAAATTTTAAAACGAATCATCTTATATTTTCCTTAAAAACGGGGTTTTCGTTATAGAGCTCGACCAATTGACAGAAAAATATTGGGCCTAGATAGCTAACAACTTATATCCATTTCCTTGTTGACATTATTTCATATACTTTGCTTTTTTAAGCCAGTTTGAAGAATAAAATGTACTCTTCCAGGAAGATCATCAGCGATTCCAAAAACCCAGCAAGTTTAATTAATATACATAGCAGGTTCATAAAATTTCAGATAAAACATAGCTGAAAGAGCCGGAGTATAACATAAAATATAAGTTATTACGTTCCATGAACTTCAATCTTGTTTACAAAGAACAGTTGCTTTATATTTATCGAAGTTCTTTTTGTCACCAAAAAAAGGCAGAATTGCTAAATGAAATTTTTTTCCTTTTTAAATTCAGATAATTGCCGCGTACTGGCGTTTCCGAGTTATTTCCTTATTGCTGACAAATGTTTGGAGAGCCACACGATCTTAATTGTCCAACATGTCCAAGATATCGGTCTTTGTAAACTGCTTTGTTACAAGGAACCAAACTGCGTCAGTGTGAATTACGAGATACAAACACAAAAACGATGTGAACTGAACAATTCAACACACCGAGCGCACGATGCAGACTTTAAAGAGAGGGAAGGCTGCTTATATCATGGAGCAACTGTAAGTTTATTTGTCTTCTCTTTTCTTGTCTTTTTTTCTTTTATGATCTGCTTTCATCATCTTCAAGGCCATGGATCATTATCTCATCATCGCGGCATCATTATCACCAGAGACGGCGTCTTCGTCATTAGGAGTGAACGTCTCTTAAAAAAGTTAACTCAAGCTGTTTCAAAATTCATCGCTTATCTTCCATGTCGCGATTTGTCAAATGTTGGTGAATCAGTTCAGATGTTAAGTTAAAAAAAAAAAGAATAAGAAATCGTTGTCCAGAAACGTGAAATTAGGCAGGTCATGAGACGACATCAACGAAATATACAATTAAGCTTAATCCACGTGCAAAGTTTTTTTTAAAAAAATTTGGTAAACTAAACCTATTTGCTTTTTCGACGTTTTCGTTTACTTCGACGTCATCGTTGTTTAAGCTCCCTATTATCATCATCATCTTCGTGATAATTACTATCATCCTCATCATCATCCTCATCTTCATATTGTAGTTTATAGTTGACGCTCGATCATGAAGGTTTGGCGTAACTTCTGTTATAAATCAGACCTGATTTTTGTTCTTTTTAAAGAGTGCTTGTAATAATCCCCGTTGCCATAACAACGGTACCTGTCAGTCTGGATTCACAGAGAAAAGATATCGGTGTTTATGTCCTTCTGGTTTCACTGGTGAACATTGTGAGAATGGTAAGTTGTTCTTGAAAGTTACTTTCTTTTTTCTTTTCATCCAGATCCTTAGATAAGTGGGGCCCGGTCCCCAAACAAAAATTTCTTCGGCCCTGCGGGCCTCAGCTTAGTCTAAAAATAAGGGAGGGGGTGTCGGGCCCCTTCCCTCGATCTGCCACTGCAAATCTCTATAAATTTGGGTAACACATTTCGTCGGATATCTCGTATACGAAATACTCCTCTGACCTGAATCTTGGTGAGAGTCTTTGCATACTTATCTTCGTTTATTTCCCAGATTCTATACTTTATTTATTGAACGATTTTGATTTTTATTTTGATCTGTTTTGAACGGCGTGACACTGAAAACCAGCAATACCTCTATGCTCTTTGCACGGAAGTTCATTTGATCGTCTGAAGTTAGTATTTTAGGAAACTAACCGGGGCGTGGCCTTTTGTTCTTAGCTGTAATTGACCCCTTAAGAAGACCATGTATCAAGAAAGTATGACGGCATTTGTTTTTGAAAAAACCAAACTCATCCTCTCTAGCCCTCAGCGATACCTTAATGGGTTACCTCAAGTGTGACCAAAATTGGTACGTTTTACCCCTAGTGGAAGCGACGAGCACCTACGTCACATTCATATGGGAGTTCCCTAACACCCGGGCTCGAGCTTCTAAGTCTAATGGGAACCGATGAAATCGGGTTGTAGATTGTAGATATTTTTTGATAACTCACCGTGAGCACAGCTAAGGGCTAAATTCAGTTTTAACTAAATAAATTTTTGACGGAACATAAGTTGACAAGAACAAGAATGTCAAATATCGAAACTGTGGGTCCAACCATAATCGTTTGCTGAAGATGTCAAAAGTCTTAATTTTCTCATAACTAATTAAGTTCATAAGTGAAGGTGAAAAACAAAAACAAAAACCAAAAAAAGCAAATTAAACAATAAGTCAATGTCTTAACAGACAGAGAAACAGTCTATTTTTGCTTTGGATTAGACACCAATGTTTTGGCTTGCTACTTATATGTTACTTATATGATGTGAAGTATATATGAAATAATTCATTTTTGAACTGCGGTTGTAGATGAAAGTGCGATGATCATTCTTGACTTTCATGTTACTTATATGTTACTATTTTCCAGGAACCTCTTCTCTTGATTTCACTGTAGAGATATATTAACTGGGGAAAGTCTAAAATACGTCAAATGCGAAATAAATTTGTTTCTATTATTGATCAATATAATTTCAGACATCAATGAGTGCAAAGAAGGAACCCACAATTGCAGTTCTAATGCGGTTTGTAATAACACCAAAGGATCCTACAACTGCACATGTAAACCAGGATATGAAGGGGACGGAAATAATTGCACAGGTAATTTCTTTCTTAACTTAATCATTTTGTATGCCTTCGAAAGCATTGCTGTTTTTATTTTCTCGTAGTAAAATGATCTTTATAGCAATTACTTGTCAGATAGTTGACCATATTACCTCAGTCAAAATTTTAAGCAGAATGTTTTACAACACTTGGTACAGTGTACCTAGTATTTTCAATGTTTTGTCGATTTGAAGAACATCAATGGCCGGCATCAGAAACTTTGCTTTTTTTCCTCATGTATTTCTTTTCATACTACAACTAAGCTTGCCATTGTTCAATATGATTTCAGACATCAATGAGTGTAATGCGGGAACTCAAAGAACTTGAAACATTTGTTGCCGCTTCCAGTGAAATACAGAATTCTGTTGTCCCACTATTGTTTTCAATGAATTAAAATTTGTTTGGCTTAATGGTTTGAGCAAATAGAACAAAGGTACCACACAGCAACGGTTAGGCAAGATTCGCAATAACAGCAGCATTAAATTGGTCTTTAAAATCTGTGAGGTTTTCGCTAATGATTACCCGGTATCAACTTAGCATTGATTTCACCGTTTGCCTGAGAAGTAGATCATAAAATGCATTTCCATTTAGGCTGCCTTCGGTTGTGTTTTCACTAGGCCGATTTTCTAGCTGAACATATATTCTTTCTGGGGTTTTGTTTACAAACCGACTTTACTAGTTGAACGTGACAACTGTTTTAACTGTGAATTTTTGCCCACAATCTAAGCCGCTAACTCAGAGGATACAAATTGCTGAAATTGCAAAAGCGCGCCATAGTCAAAAATGGCGGGGGACGAAGCGCATGTAATGAGGCTTATTATTTAATTGAGATGGGTTGTGATGCGGTAAATGGTTCTGCACACCGGCGCTCTGAAAAAGATAAGGACCTGGAAGAGGAACTGGAGAATCCAATGGGGTCGGTGGGATTGTAAATCGAAAGAAATGAGTTTTGGAATCGTTTGCCATATTGAAGTCCTCAAGCTCAACCATGAGGCGATTGTCTCTAGCCTGCGTAGCATGGTGGTTTCGTTTGGAGCACTAATGAGAGGAGATAGCAGAGATAGCAGAGCGAGCGAAACGCGAGCGCGCGTGAAAATCACCCCACATGGGGTGACTCTCACGCCCGCTAGCGTGTCGCTCTCTCTACTATCCCTGAGGAAAAATGGGGGACTACTCGTAGTCTAATCTACACAAGCATAATAATTATAGTTTTATTATTAGGTTTGATATTGTGTGCGATGTTTTCTTAGTTTAGGTTTCGAGATATATCTATATCTTTATGTAAATTTCGTTTTCCAGTCAGCTGGGTTAAATTCGTCCCCAGACTTCTCTCATTTTGTACGTTATCATGCTGACGATTACCTATATGGCGTGAACGCCCCCAAAAAATTTTGCCACCTTTTGCGGCCGCGTCCATAACAAGACGAATTTTTGTCTATAAGCTGAGGTGTTTTCATTTATATTGCTCACTAATTTGTCTGCTGCAGAGGTTATCTGATGTATTTTTAGAGTAAGTATTCAACTACTTTTTATTTCCAAGACCTTTCAGTACTTTCATGTGTCAATACCGCAGGCCTTTTTTTGTTTCTCTAGAAACCTGTTTAACTTCAAAGTCCTTAAGAACTAAGTTATAGCTATATAATAATACTAACCCTTTAGTTCCCTTCATTTTACAATGGCACTGTATATTTGTGTTGGACGTGGCTGCATTGCAGTTTGTTGGTCGCTCAATATTAGAGCTTTTTCAAACAATTAACTATTTACCAGTTCTATTTGTGTTTTTATGCCTATAACATTCCCATTTACACATACTACCTCAATACCTCCTAGTTTATTTACCCACTGTAGTGGACGTAGCTGCATAGCAATTTGTGGGTCCCTCACTATCGTTGTAACCAAAACCAGTTGTGTTTTTCATTTTGTTTTTATGCTATATGTTACTGTAGACTTAACTGTATTGCAGTTTATTGGTCCAGTTGCTTTGCTTTAACCTTTGCTTTAACCTTTGCCATTAACCTCACCTATTTTATGTTCAATAAATACTTACAACATCCCCTGCACACACCACCTACTCCTTCTGATTCTATCAGTGGAGGGGAACCCACGCCATGTATTTGGTGATCCCTTTCCCAACACCCGGCAAGACACAAAGGTTTCTACAGAAACTACTGTTCTTTTTTTTAACAAAGAAAAAAAATCAGTGCTCTGCATGTACATCACACTCTTTGGTACCGTTTTATCGACGTCCAGTGCCAAAGGATACGAGAGAAAAGAGACCCTGGGCACCATTTACATAAAGGAGCACGAAATTTCGAAAGAAAATCCAATGGTTCACCCCATTCCGTCAGCCAAAGCTTCAGAAGATGTCGGCTGTCGTTCGAGGCGATGTACGTCTTTTTTTTTTACTCATTTTAGTATCTCTACCACATTTGGCCACACTTTGAAGCGCCTCTTCTACTACAAGGTCATATTAAAACCCATCAAATTTCAATCGGATGATGGAAAGCACCAAGACCGAGGCCGTGTTATCCCGTTTTCCTGTTCATCGGAATGAACATTTTGCCTTTACGTCCTAATTCGTACAACAGTTAATACAAAATGGTCACATGAACATGTTGGTCACATGATCAGTGTTCATGTGACCTAAAGTAGTCACCATTTGGCAAAGACAACGATGTTGATGCTGTCGAAATGTCAATCTAAAAAGATTTACCTTGTTTAATAAATCCCTTTTTTCTTCAACATAAACTCAGTGTAGCTAATATCGTTATCTTACTTCTTACAGCTTCAACGTGCAAGGACATTTATGACAGGACTTTGTAAGTACAAGCGATAGAAAATAACTTGATAAAAAGACACTAAACCAAATTCTAAAATATATTTTTTAAAATCTCTGAGGGTTCCAAAATAAAATTGCTAAAATTTCTTCTTAATTTTCTCCACTAATTGGCAAGTTAAATACACGAAAATCGGGAGGTCAACGGTGAGAAGATTCAGATCTGGATTCAGTACAAAAAATGGACATTGCTATAAAGTCAGTAAAAAAATAGCAAAAAAATTAAAAAGAGGAAAATAGCAGTAGACCAGATACTTAAGCCATACTCGTGTTCAACACCTAAGGTCGAAAACGAAACAACAAAATAAAAAAGAAGGAAAGAAACTTAATGAGTTTATTCAGGAGTGTTCGCTGTGGTCAAGGCAATTACAGTCTTTTCTGGAGTCAGTGAAATGTACTAAATCTCTGAACAATATATATAAATTGGAGTTCCTGATGTTTAGATTAGACCCTGAACTTATTACAGAATCACTGCGGATAAAACCATTGTCATAAGATTGTAAAAGGCAATCAGTGAAGAAAGTCGATTGTCTCCAATAGTGTCAAATGTGTGTGCGCGACATAAGCATGCAAGTTTCAAATGTCATCCCTTCATTTCTAACTACCCGTTCAATTTATCTCCTTCGTACATAATTTTTTGTGAACAAAGGAGTTCTACCTACTTAGTATTCTAAAAAACCTCAGAGTTCAAGACAAATACCAAAAAAAAACAACCCAATAACGTAACTGTTACATAAAAACAAAATATGTAATACAAACCAGGGTTATAGGGTTATATATATCGCGCTTTCCTATCCTTTTTGCACAACATTTTGCAACGTCGTTGCAGATTCTTCAGCTCAACTGCAACGATCCCGACCCGACTCCAAAACATGTTCCCATGCCCATGACAAAGAAATCCACTCATAATTCTAAATTTGCCAGATTTTTTAACAAACTAGTGTGCTCTAACAAAAAGGAGAAAAGTAGCTATGTCATTCTGAATGAACTTAGCCATTTTGGTGGCTTGTTTGTTCAGGGCCAAAGAAAACGCAGCGTATTTGCTGGATGTTGGGTCTACAAAGGTTCCCGTATACTGTCACATGACCAAGCATGGTCTTGATGCATGCGGAGGAGGTGGATGGACGCTGGTCATGAAGATCAATGGCTCAAAGGTATTAAAAGTTAACTGTTCAAAAGCTGATTAACTACGAAGTCGCTCGTCAACAAGCGTACTCCCCCTGTTAAGGTAAACTTTTAATTCTAGATCAAAATGCAGACTAGTAGATGAAATATATATTCAGCTTAAGACAAAGTATGAACAAGGAAATGGCAGCAGTAATAGACTAGACACACGTAAACTGGAAATGATGCCTTTTCCCTTTTATTATTCCTCAACGCTACCAAATTTGTAATGCTTAGTGTGTTGACTCAAACAGAGACGGTTTGCCCGAAAATTTCGGCAAAACTACTGCCCAATAATGCAAAACGTCAGGGGCACCCAACGAGAAGATAGTTCAAACCACTTAACAATAGCATTGTATGATTTAAACGGTAGATATAGGCATATTTTTATCCCCTATAAATTTTTCATCTGTTCGGATTTCCTAGCTGAAAGTCTAGTGATCCGAAAATTATAGGGATCAAAACTTACGTTTTCGAAAATTTCAGACAGAAAAAAGGCTCCCGAAAATTCTAGGTGACCTTTTAAGGGTAAAAATCCGTTTAAAATGGGCAAATATACCATTTTTTAGATGTTCAAAAATCCTAGGAGAGGCAGGCAAGCAAGAAATTCTACAACAAATGTTCAGAAAATTCTAGATCGCAAATCGTCGTCCGAACAGATATTTTCCGAAACTTTTTGTTGGGTGCCCCTGATCGTCGCTCATCTTTGCTTAAACTCTCCAATGAGACAGACCAATTGAAACGACTCAACGTGGCTTTCAGACCATATTTCAGTACCCAAACAGATACAACAGCAAACTGACCAACTACTTTTTGTTCCAAATGCACCCAGGAAACGTTTCACTACAATTCCAGTCTCTGGAGGAACAAAGTCGACTTTAATCTTCCAGGAGGGGAGACTGGCTTGGACACTCACGAGACCAAGTTACCGACTTATTGGAGCACACCGTTTAACAAGATCTGTCTTGGAATGAAGGTCGATCAGCAGTTCAAGTCTGTTGTCATCAACTATCAAGCCAGATCCCTGTATTCACTGATCGCAGATAACATATACCGAAATACTTCACTGGGCAGTGACACGTGGAAGAAGCTCATTGGGTCTCAGGCCTCTTTGCAAACCAACTGTAACAAGGAAGGATTCAACGTTCTATGTGACGGCAGCAGCAACTCCAAAGCGAGAATTGGTATCGTTGCTAACAATGAAGATGACTGTGAAAGCTGCGACTCCAGAATCGGGTTTGGCACTGGAGGGGATTATGATGACTCCAACACGTGTGGCAATGAAGCTACTTATGATGCAGATAATGGCGACCAGCACATCAAAGCCATGGGATACATCTTGGTCCAATAATCGCGGTAATTCGCTGAGAAACTGCCTTCAAACCGCAGTCAAAAAGGCAGAAGTGGCCCTTAAAGACAACTAAGATACTTTTTATTGTTGTAATATGTTGTTTTAATCGAAGAAAGGATTGGCGCTGAAATAAAAAAGACTTAAAATAAAAGACTGTTCTTTGACTATCTTTCTCGACATCATTTCTAAGAGATGAAGGATCGCCTCAGGTTAAAAGATAACTGTGCCTCCTCTTCCGGGTTTTTTTTTTTTTGATTGACATGAGCACGTGACAAGGAGACACGAACATGTGTTTTTGAGTCTTGGGTTGACTTATTTAAGGGACTTGTCAGAAATTAGCAGGGGGAAGGGGAGGTGGAAAAAGAGAGAGGGTCACAACTTTTTGAGACTCAGAAAAGGGAGGGGTCATGAAAAATGGGCCGTTAACAGGGGGAGGGTCATGCAAATATACGCCCGTGATCATGTAGAGGTTCACCCACAGAAGAAAAAGGAAGTTCTTTATTTGGTGAAAAAAAGAAAAAACAAAAACAAAAACGGAACAATATGGATATAAACTGTGAAGTACTATTGCAAGAATTTAACAAACAACTACTTTTCATTTATAACAATGCTATAGAGTCTTATTGCAATTATGAATAATGTTGTTATTAATGTTATTAGAGTTTTGGCTTTTCATCACTGTCTTCATCAGCATCACCATCAATGCTGCTGTGAGCATCTTGATCATCATCATTTATGTCATCAGCATTTTATTTTAGTAATTTTATTTTATTAGCTTCGCATTGATACAATCACTTTCATCATCATCATGATTTTCATTTAAGTTGAAGCGTAGATATTGCGTGATAATGTTCTGTGATTCATTGGTGAACAATCCCTTCTCAAAGGCATATGGGATATATTGCGTTTTGAGGAGCCCACTTAGTCCTTCATAATGAAGAGATAATGGGCCAAAAGGCTCTGTAACGTCATGTGACTCTTGCTTAGGTGCGATGGTTTCAATAACTCTTTTGCAGTCAGCTTCCATTCTTTTTGCCCTAGCTTTTTTGGCTTTCCTTTTATTTTGTTTTTGTTTCCTTTTTTCTTGTTGGCTTGGAATACTGCACCTTAAAGAGCCTGGAACATTTATCTTTCAATTCTGTAATATTAAGGTGGGGAGGTTCATGATCTTTTAGGCCAAGCTCAAGGGGAGGGTTAGCAAATTTCACTCCCATTGCAGGGATGGGTCACCTAATTTCCGAACCCAAAGTTAAAATTCCCACCCCCTCCCCCCTGCTAATTTCTGACAAGTCCCTGTTCGCGTTTTGGTAGTCGACTTCTCGACATTTGGTCCACTGAGCCGGGATATTTTGAGTGACTTTGAGAGCGAAAGTGTGAAAAACAAAGGCGTATAGTGTTATTCAGGGGCACCCAACGACTGTTTTCTGTAAAATATTTGTTCGGAGATGCAAATATTGCCTAGTATATTCTATTGCTTAAATACGGCTAAAAAGTTCTATAAGAGCGTTCCATTCAGGTACAATTTTCGAACCTTATCTTAAAAATTCCCTACCATTTTCTGAGGTGTAATTTTTCATCTTTTACTCCTCATGTTAGGCTAATTTTCGTACAAAAAAGAAACCTAAAATTTTCGGATTCAAAAATGAGATGGAAAGAAGAACAAGAAAAATTCTCACTTTCGTAAAACGTTTAACTGCATCTAAAATTTTCGGAGTTATACTACCACATGAGAAATTTCTGCAATTTCATTGGCTTAGAGCAGTGGTAATTCAGATTAAGATTAAGATCAGATTAAGGTGAAAATTACAAACCATTTGTGGTTAGTAGTATAAACAAAAAATAACATGATTTGTACGTGATATTTGGCATAAATACCACTTGTGATATTTCCAAATTGTCACAAATTTCACTCGCCTAACCGCTCGTGAAAATTACGTATAACAAATTGGAAATATCACTCGTGGTATTTATGCCAAATATCACTACAAATCATGCTATTACCTATACAAATACTTGTGAAACCTTCAGGACAGTCACATGCTGACAGAGTACCATATGCAGTCGAGTCACCTCTTGGTTGCGCAGTCACTAACTGGTTGCCCGGAAGCAAAAGGTGGCATCACCATACAATGCGTTTAAAGTGTATGAAACAAGTGCTGGCGAAGAGGAGGAGTTGCAGCAGTTGCTTACTGCTCAATCAGAGGTAGAGTCATTAGGTGTAGTGAAGCTAGCAGATCCCGTGCGTTCAATTGAGGACAGACGAGCGTTGGCAGTAATGGAGCAGACGACTAAGAAATTGGTGGGTGAAGACGCTTATGTGTCGGGGCTGCTTTGGCGTGAAGAAGACCCATCGCTTCCTAATAGCAATGACATGGCTGTGTGGAGACTTGAATCGTTGAATCGTTAGAGAAGAAGTTAAGTTTGAAAATGATCCCGAAATTAAGGAACGATATGTAAAGTCAATCCAGGATGACATTGAGAAGGGTTATGTGAGAAAACTAAGCGAAGAAGAAGTATGCACTGATAGCAAAGTGACCTGGTACTTACCACACCGTTTCGTTATCAATCCTAAGAAACCTAATCGTCTCAGGAGAGTATATGATGCATCAGCGAAATTCAGGTGTCAAAGTACTAATGATAAAATGTAAACGGGACCAGATTACTTGTCGTTGTTGTTTAGTGTTTTGCTTAGATTTTGCGAATCAAGAATTGCATTAGCAGCAGACGTGGGAGAAATGTACCACATGTTGCGTCACCTGAGAGTGATCAGCCAGCTATGAGGTTCCTTTGGAGAGAGTCACCGGATGAACAGAGTGTCTACCAGTTCCAGAGGACACTGTTTGGAGAAGTGTCGGCGCCATCTCGTGCCAACTGTAGGATGAGGCGGAATGCGGAAGAGAACGGGGGAGATCAGCCTCTTGGAGTCAAAACCGTCTACAAGTATTTTTACATGGGCGATGGCCTACCGTCCAGCGACTCAAGAGAAGAAGCCATAGAAATGCGGAAACAAATGACGGAATTACTGCTCCGTGGAGGCTTCTACCTGCAAAAGTGGTTAATAAACGTCCCTGAGGTATTAGCAACTATCCAGGTAGAGGATAGATCTCCACGTTTCCTTGAGTTGAGTGAAAATACAGTTACCAACAGACCGTGCATTGGGCTTTACGTGGGATGCTCAAGAAGATGTATTTAGGTTCAATGCACTTAAACGAGAAGCAGCTACTACAAAGAGAACAATCTTAAGCCAAGCGTTCTCTGTGTGGGATCCTCGAGAACGTCTCCTCCCGTTTTCAATCAGAAGCAAGATTATCCTTCAAAATCTGAATCGCTTAAAGTACGGATGGGATGATGAGTTAAAAGAAGCTAATCTTCGTGGGTGGCGCAAATGGTTTAAAGAATCAGAACTGCTTGAAACTGTGCAAATTCCGGAAGCACTATTCAGACGGACGAGCTATTTCGAGAAACTAACCTGCATGTGTTTTGTGACGCGAGCCAAGATGCTTACGGAGCGTGTGCGTACCTTAGACGAGAGTTTGAAGATAATGTAGTTGAATGCAGACAAGTCGCTGGGAAAGGTCGAGTTGCTCCTCTTAACGAACAGTCTGTCTGTAGACTGAACTTATGGCCTGTAATGGGAGCTCTTAATGCTGCCCGTTTAGCTGAAACACTAGCGGTAGAGTTAATGACAAAGATAGAGAAGATAACCTTTTAGGGTGATTCTACCACCGTTCCTCATTGGATTCACCAGACGAGCTACAACTACAAGGCGTTCGTTGGAAATCGAGTATCCGAGATTCACACAATCATGAGTAACTTGGAAACTGCACTAGGGGCGGGTGCGGTGAGCTGGAGATACGTGTCGACAGGTGATAATCCTGCAGATGATATCACCCGGCGATTCCACCCTGTAGAACTAAACGTGAATAATCGCTACAGCGCTGGGCCGAAGTTCTTCTACAAATCAGCCAAGTTGACGAAAGAAGACACGAGAGAAAGGAAAAGGCTAAGATGGGTTGGAGTTTCCAGGGAAAGTGAGCCTGTGTTGGGATGGAAAAGATATCCGTTCGTAGCTAAACTAAGAAGGGTGCTGGCGTACGTGATGCTATTTGTAAACAATACAAGAGTAAAGAAAGAAGTGCGTCAGTCGGGATCGCTAACAGCAACAGAGTTAAGAGCTGCTCAGAGCCACCCAGTGAAGAGAGCGCTAGTAGAGTTTTTTGGCGAGGAGATAAGGTGCCTGGAAAATGGTCAGGAGGTTCATAAGCGGAGCAGAATCAAATCCCTTTATCCGAGAATGGAAGGTGGATTTCTAGTAGTCGGTGGAAGGTTGCAAAAAATCCCAAGCCCTCCCTTACACGACACGACACCCGAAGATAAAAGACTCAAATCATGAGCTTGCGTAGCAGATCATTGTAACTACCACCATCCACCAACCGAACCAACCACGAGGAATATGGCCTTTGGGTAGGATTGTGTCTACTCATCCTGGACAAGACGGTATGGTCAGTGCAGTCATCACAGTGCGTACTCAATACGGGGAGTACAAGAGACCAATCACAAAACTGTGTTTCTTAGAGGAAGCGGAGACCTAGGTCTAGAAACTGTAAGTCGTCTTGACTCTGTTTCCTGACTAGGCGCGGGAATGTGCCTCCGCTTCCGGTTTTTACGATTGACCTGAGACACAAACGTGTTTTTGCGTCTTGCGTTGAGTTAACAGTGTTCGCGTTTTGATAGTCGACTTCTCAACAATAACTGAGCGGTCCCAATCAAAGAGTACCGACCGTGACGAGGTAATCGACAAGAGCCGTGGGCAGTATGATATTCATCCCTGGGTATTGTTATTAATGACATTATAAAAAGATATGGGGAATCAATCTGACCTGAGACAAGCCCAGGACAGACTGAATTAAAATTAGGTAATCTGGAACCCGACTTACTCGATTGGGAGGACGTATGGGTCGCCAATCGCCCTTCGTGTCGGACAAAGTGAAGTGAATGGGACAAAGTGTGCCAATGTTTCACTTTTTATATCATTAATTAATTGTGAAGAGACCTTATTTTAGGAAGTTTATACCACGGAATGTTAAAATTCAAGGTTTTTATTGACTGGACCAGAATGTGCATCGATATGGGACTTATCCATGATTCTGACCACTGACTCGCTTCTATCAAATTTTAATCCGTTTGAAATAAGCTTCAAATAATTTATAAGCGGAGCCTCAAACTACGTTACAATAACTAAGGGGTAGAAAGGATTAGCGAATGGTGTAATGCTCGTGGTGAGGATTTTGACGATAAATAGAAGCTTAATTAGTGAATTATTCCAACAGACTTATAACTGACCACATGAAACGAACTTTCGGTTTTCAGGTAAACTTTTCGGCAATTTTCACTTCATCTTTTTTTGGTTTTAACAATTTATTCAATTCGGTAGTCAATAGATCAACCAAACAACTCAATATTTGCTAGACAGGACGAAAAACAATGGTATCAACAGCAAATAAAATCAGTTGTAGTATCATAGTTGATAAGCAGGTGAAATGGTTATCAAGCCTGTCAGCCTGTCTCTTTGTTATACATGTATCTTTGGACTTAACGGCTCACAACATTTAAGAGCAACCAATAAAAACGTTGCATTAATTTATTCAGTCACAATTAATGAAAAAACAACAAAGGATTGTGCACCGTCAGGATGTAAGGATCCTTACATAGGTAAACTGCAGCATTTTGTTTTTATCTTTGATAATTGCTGACTTTAATTTCATAACCAGTCTCCTCCACTGATCTCATAACGCAGATGAATTGTTTCTATCATTGATGTAAAGCAGAAAATTAGAAAATTGAAGTATCACGAGAATACGATCATTTGTGTCAAAGAAAAAGTTTCAGGGGACATCACCACGAAAAACAGACGTCAGCCGAAAAAACTCAGCGAGCAAACTGGAAACCATCCATATTTTGCCTTGGTACTGGGATGACACGCTCTAGATCTCTTGTACGTGTTGGATGGTATTTCCAAATATGGCTGCATTAGAAGCACAGCGATTCCGAGCCTGCGAATACGACTGCCTTTCAATACTCCCTGCCACTGGGGTCGTGCTCACATGGTGCGGAGCGAGTTCAATCGTACGCGGGGTACTATTCACATCATAGACAGCCTTAGTGACCACATGCAGTACCTGAGGTCCCTGAGCCATTAGACGGGCTTCATTTACAACCGCTGATGATTATCTAAAAGATTTTTTTTGCTGCTTTTCCTGGCAGGTTACCACAGGAGCCAATTTCCTTGCTTCTTTAAAACGCCAGCCAAAATCCTTGAGGGGAGAAGACATGAACGGGAGTATGGCCTGCATGGCAGGCGCCGGATTAAAGGCGAAGGACGCGCGTTCCCCTCGGGCGGCCTGTTAAATAAATAATAACCGGTGACTGCAACGCAGGCTAAAAGGAGTACAAGTATTACAAAAAAAAAACCCTAAAAAAACAGGTCAGTTGTACACTTTCAGCTTAATATTTTATTATGCAAACTCAAAAAAAAATTTACATGCTTATGAAATTTAAACAGTGGGAGACAGAAGTGCGACTATAAAAAATGTTGCTTGACTATTTAGTCTCGCTTGCGTAAGCAGCAAGACTCAATATGCAATGCGTATTTCTTCGTATTGAGGACACAAAAGGGGGTTGTGTCAGGCGTTCCTTGCGGAGACCGTGGAAACTGGGAATAAGAATCGTTGCGTGGTCGAAGCCACGCATGTTTTGCGAAGAAAGCTTAAGAAAGATTAAATTTAGAGCTTTTCCGAAACGTGTCGGTCCACGAATTCCATCGCTTCAAAGCGTTGACTACTTTGAAACAAGTGAACACTACTGAGTTGTCGAAACAAAATAAGAATCTTAATTAGCAAAACTGCTATGGTCGGGTGTTGTGAACTTTCATTGTATGCAAATGGCTCTTGTGATGAGCATGCCGTTTATTTTCAGCGATGATTGAAATGACGTGCCATGTAAATCACTTTTGATATCTGGCAATGACGTAATTTCTCTGGAATCGAGGCCCTTGAATTTTCGTGTATAGAGTATAGGGTATAGAGCATAGAGTGTTTTCACTCAAGTGGCCAGCATCTATGCAAATTTATTGGAACAAAAGAAAACGTTTGCATATGAAAAGAGTTCAACTCCCACAGGATTGGTTTGGGACACCAACATGGCCGCCGTTACGTCATGTGAAAACACTCTGACCGCGGACGAATTTCCGGTCGTCGCTAACAGGCGTACTAAATCACTTCAGAAACAAATAAAATAAAGCAAGAAGTAAAAACCCTTTCGAAAGTAAATCCTGTTTCGTGTAGAATTAATCGCCTCCTCATTTCTCGATCTAATCTCCAAGCAAGTGAGACTAAAAGTCGCAAAAAGAGCGTTCTTTTTCCTTCACAAACTGTCTCTTTAAATGCATACAATCATAAATCTTAAAAGATCCTGAAAAATGAATACTTTACTACCAGATCGCTGTTAGGAAAAAAAAAACTTCGACAATTTCTTAACATCAATCATTATTTTAGTCCTCTTTCACTATAGGCACAGCAAATGCGCAATCCTGTTCAATTGCCAGGTTGTAATCGTCTCCCTTTCCACCTTTGTATGCGCTGGTGACGATCCTCAGCCAACCCTCTTCCCCCCACGGGACACCCCAGGAGTTGCGCACAATCCAGTACTCTGTTCCATTCTCCACACCCCAGCCAGCAACAGATACAATGTGGTTGATCATAGGGGAAGGGTTGTATTCAGTGTAGATACCTCCTTCGTATGCCTCAAGTTTCGAAGTGGCCATTATACCACATGCAATAGGACCTCTGGCATAGATTTCGGCCATCATTTTATCACGTCCACTAACATTACCTGCAAGACAATACGAGAGGGATTTCTTGAAATTAAAATAACAGAAATGTTCGAATTAGCACCCCTTAACGCTAAAAGTAATAGATAGGCTTTAACCCTTTAACCCATTCGCCCCTGAACCGCCCGTAACCGCCCGTGCGGATCCCGGTCCTTTCTACCCATTGTGACGTCATCAGTCTTAACGGTCAAGGACAACTTTCTTCGCTAACTTGTGCAGAGTGAAGAGATCTTTCAAACCATACCAGAATGAGCACAATTTAGTCAAGGACACCGGAGAAACAAGCAAAAAACCACATGACAAGGACCTGAAAATCTCCATGAAAATCTTGTTCCATTACCCACCTACCTTTCCTTTCACCTAATCCTAAGATCCGAAAAGCTTTCCTAAAAACTCTTCCCACCAAAATGAAGCCTACTAAATGCCCAGCAAGAGAAAAAAAAATGAGGCAAGAAAAGCGAAAAAAGAGGGGAGGAGAGAAAGCGAAATTTTGCTTTCTGCGCATGCCCGAACTTCGCAAGCTGATATTTTGCATCTGGATCAGAAGGCCGCCAAGTGTACGACCTGTAAACCGGTTTCTGGTAAGTTTTAGCTCTTTATAGCACGACAGTGACCAGAAAACCACTCGACTAGCTTCAAAACGTGTTTTTCGGCAAAATCTCCAGGAGCGAATGGGTTAAGTCCCAGTAGTGACCAACATCAATTTTCTCCTAACAATATCCATAGATTGTCAAGTGCAACATCTATGAGAATTAATCAAATGATCACAAAGAGAAAGATCTCTGATCTTTTATCAATTTCTCCCAACTAATTCTCTAAGGAAATGTATAGAGATCAGTTTGGAGAATTTGTTTGTGGATATTGGGGCTTAAAGGGTTCACTGTTTATGGCCTTTACCTTTAACCTTTAAGGAGTCATTCCCGTGGCTTGTCTGTTGCCTAGTTGGCGAATGACTTAGTAAACCCTAACAACCATGCAAGAGAGAAACCTCTGATCGCAGGGAAACATAGCCTTGCCAGGGTTTCAGATACATAGGGAGGTTAGGAAAAACTGACGTGTGATTTGTGCATCAGTATTGAACCAGTAACTGCAGATGATTATCTTATAGCCTGAAGCAGGGTATAATATGTTGGAGCCTGGAACAGGCTACTGATAAATGTATCTGCAGCACACACACAACTTTCCCTGTTTACTAAATGTGAAGAATGAACTATGTGCCCCCTTTTCAAATAACTACCCCCCTGTGACATTACTCGATGGTCTGTTGTTTTTCAATCTATCATGTTGCTGGACTTTGCCTTCCTGACCAACTCTTTTACAGTGAAAGATTTGTTGACTGGGGTAACTTGGAAATTGCCAATTTCAACTGACCTGCACAGGGCTGTCACCAAGATTTCAAGGCTCTGGGTATAGGCTACACATGTATGAAGCTCTTTTGGAACTCTTTAGTTTCGTATTTGAAAATAGCCGGGGGTCATGCTCATACAGACTGTAACAGTCCCCGTGCCTTAGTGGCAGCCTGAATGAAACATTTATGTCTAATGATAATTTTAAGTCAACACTGCCTCTTACCATACTCGCTGACCTTCCATTTCGTATAGTTGGTGATAGGATGACACTCTCCAAATGTGGTGCACGTGCCACACTGATTGAATGCCGTGCACTCTTCATCTTTGGCTTGATAATTATTGCAGGTTTCACTAGGTATACCTTTCTCATGAGCATATTTATATACACCAATCATTCCACCTCCATGGCAGGTCCCTGCATTACCTGTTGTAATAAAGCATATCATTCATAAGCACTGGTATCTCCGTGGCATTACCAACCTTTGCTGCAATTTAGAAAACTACAAACATGAGAAATATTTAAGTCAATCATGTGTAAGAAAACTGAATTGCAGGCAACAACTTAAAAAAATTTACAGCCAGTTTATAATAATTATTTATTTGCGGTTCCCTCGCATGTCTTCATCTTTGTTGTGACTGATCACAACACCACAATATTCCAGAAGTAATCCTGGCTTTTACAAGTTTCTCATTTTGACAGAAGCAGGAATCAAAATGTCTAGAGATAAAGGCTGTAAGCTGAAAAAGAAATTTTAATTAGTCCTTATAATCTTTATGGAAAACATGTCAACACGTGGCACCCAGTGCTGCTGTAAATGTACAAAATTGCATGTGCAAGTACATGTATACAGAAACACCTGTATAGGTAAGCCACCTCTCCTGGTCCACAATAAGGCAGAAAACTCCCTGCCTCATATATAACTCAACAAAATTCGTAGTAACGGTAAAACAGTATTTTGAGCTTTTCTGTGGTATTGACTGGCATGTAGCCCTAATTTGCAGAAATCCCAAAACAGGTTATGCTTTTAAAGTTCAGATTACAACTTCTGCAGCTTTTGTGTTTTTCATCACTGTCAAACACTACTTTCATTGTTGCAGCCACAGGTGTGATTGTTGATTAGTTCTATGTTCAACCACAACTATAAATTTTCAAGGTTTTTGGGGCCTGGTTGATTCATGTGTGTAACTGGGGTGGGGTAAGAGGACCAGGGGACAGGGGAGGCATGGCAAAGGGACAGTTTAAAGATTTTACATATCCAAACACTGGCATAACACTTCTACTACCTTAATTTATCAATGTCACGATGATAAAGCTTTCTTACCACAGTCCAAGACATTCTGCACTGATAAGAGATTGCTTGGCCACTTTCCATTCCTAAGGATGTTGATTCTGTCGGACATGGCACTAGTTGTCCCATGAGCCCAGCAAGAACCGCAGTATTGAGGAATGTGTTGATTCCGTGTCACACTAGCAAAGTTTCCCTTGCCTGGGACAGACCTCCAATCAAGCTCCTTTGGCATGTCTTCAAGGTCCAGATATGAATGAGGGCGTGGAGTTTTGCTGTAACATACAAGTTAGATAAATATTTAAGTTGCACAGATAAAAAAGAATATTTTCATTAGCTGCCTGAGAATGCACATGTATGCAGTCTTAAATAAATTAAAAAATTTTCACGTTTTCCATGGAAGCTCACTCTTTCCCTCCATCCTAGAAACAAAATGTCCCTGGCAGCAACCAGCTAGGAGAAACCGTTTTATTTGCAGGCTAGTAAACTGGAGCCCTAAAAAATAAATCCCAGCCCCTCCCCTTTTGCAGTCCCTGAACATTCACTAATTTTTTTTTTTAATTCACAGCCTGTAAAACAATTTTTTAGGAGTGGGGGGGGGGAGTATTTAACCCCTATATTGGGTTAATGTCATGAGAATTTTAAACAGTTCCAATGCCCAGGGAGGCGGGGACGGTTGAAGTTTCAAATTGATGTTACAGGGCATTACTAAAATCACAGGCAGACCACGCTCTGTTAGTGCGGGCCGTTGTTGATTGAAATCTGAGCAAGAATCTTTTGTTACTTATGGAAGAAATACATATGAACAATACAGCCATGATATGGGTGGCTATAATTTGTTCCAAAATGCAGAATTTAAAGCAAATTTTTCAATAAAAGTTTGAAGAAAATGTTAACTGAGCCATGTGTCATGTTTTTTTCGCCGTCCCATGCTGTTTTAAGCGCTATTTTGCGAGATGAATATTTGACCACAGTGGTTAGAACTAAAGAAGGAGACAAGGCAGGCAGCAAACAGCCGCCGGGGCATGACCCAGTCCAATTTAAGCTGGAACTGACGCCAAACTATTTAATTTCTTACCTCGAAAATAACAAAATTTCTCAAAAAAAGCGATCCTGAGGTTGCAAGACCAGCTTTCTCAACACGACCGGTGTAAAAATCTCAACCAAAGCCATTTGAGGTGCGCACGTCGATTCAAATCCACCAATCAGCGTATCGCGACCAAACAAACATCCGTGTGGGTCAGGGTTGTGGTTTTGAACTGCCAATGGTCTCGATACACTGACTGGTGGATTTGAATCGACGTGCATACCTCAAATGCCTTTGGTTGAGATTTTTGCACCGGTCATGTTGAGAAAGCTGGTCTTGCAACTTCAGGATCGCTTTTCTCGAGAAATTTTGGAAGGATTGAGCTCTCATTCGGATGGGGCACGGATACATATCTAGTGGAATGGGAGCCGGTATTTTCGAGGTAAGAAATTAAATAGTTTGGCGTCAGTTCCAGCTGACGCCAGAGGCTGATTGCTGCCTGCCTTGTCTCCTTCTTTAGTTCTAACCGCCAAGGTCAAATATTCATCTCACAATATAGTGCTTACAACAGCACGGGACGGCAAAAAAAAACATGACACATGACTCAGTTAACATTTTCTTCAAACTTTTTATTGAAAAATTTGCTTTAAATTCTGCATTTTTCAACAAATTATAGCCACTGTATTGTTCATATGTATTTCTTCTATAAATAACAAAAGATCGTTGCTCAGATTTCAATTAACAACGGCCCCCACAAACAGAGGGTGGTCTGCCTGTGCTAAAATATTTAACTAGGGTATCTAAAAGATAGTAATGCTGCGGCACATTCTGTTGATACTGGCATTAGTTAGGCAGTGAGACTTAAAAAAATCAAAAATGACATTGAATGTCATATTTACATGTTGGAAAGTACTAGAATAATTACTATCAGTCTATAGAAAGAACTCGTGGGAACGTTGTTTAGAAAATGATCAAGTGGTTATCAGCTCTCGTTTTCCCACAGTAAATTGTAGGAAATAATAGAAATTCAGATCGTTTATCCATATATTTAATATACGGTGCACGACATTTTCTCTGGAAACAAAATACTTTTCTTGCTGTTTGTTGCATTTTATTAAGTAACAGTTATTTAGCTATATATTTATAGAAAACAACAACACAAAAAACGGAAAAAAAAAAGAAACAAGGAATGAATAATTCAGTAGGACTTGAACCCCGCACCTTCGACTCGACGCGACTGCACCTAACCACTACACCACAGAGACTGACTACCTAGTCCTTAGGAAAAGTCTTTGATTTTATTCCTTTTCCATGAAACTTCCGCCGGCAAGATGATCGCCAGCCGTGTGAACCGAGCTATTGACAGTGAAAAAACAATGTAAACGCATATTCCATGGCAATAAATGAATGAAAGAATATAATTATGCTTTTCAAAACGCCGATACACATCCTCGTCTGCAAAGTAGGACACAAAACATATGTTTTGTTATCTCGATTTCCGCTGTTATTTTGAAGCAAATGGTCAAAATCACATCCATTTTCGGCTCATACAGTTTCTTAAGAATAGCATTGCATGACATTTTCTCACTTTCAAATCACCTTCTAGCAAGCTGGAATTTGTATATCCCCCGTGTTGCGGAGTCGAAGAGCGAATGCTCATCTTCTCGTCAGGTTTAACACCTGGACGAGTCAAAAAACGCTCTTGAATTGAAATCCAATCCCCAAGTTAACAATCGTACTCATCTGAAAGACTCCTGCATGTCTTAAAATTTGTTAAGACCTCTAACCGTGCTGTAGAAAATTTGCCACAAAGAAAACTCTAAGTCTGAGCAGCGAACGATGCACTCTCTCACCCACCGAACTTATTTGAGTTGTTCGTGGCGCAATGCACTCTGGTTAAATGCAATGCGTTGTGGTAAAAAGTGTGGTTAAATGCAATGCATTGTGGTAAAAAGTGATGAATTCGAGAATTCGTCGCCCCTTATATATTTCCTTTAAATCCTGATTATGTTGCTGCTCGCTCCCTTCGGTCGCTCCACAGCAATGATTAGTTTCAGACTTTTGTATTAGTTTGGTAATAAGTGGCCCACTATTCTGTGGTTTAACCCAGGTCTGGAAGATGTACCAGAAACATCTATAACAAAAGAGTTTGAGAGAAAAAAGTGAAATCAAACTACAGCGTGAAAGCTTATACGCGGATTGAAATTTGCTTAGTCACCGGTTGCATAACAAGCTTCAGTTTCTTTTTTTTATCTCCATGATCTCAAATAACAATCATTAGACTCCTTATACTTTGGTCAGATTTCCGTAAAGCCCCATATATCTATCATGCATGTACCAATCTAATGCTATTTCACGCAAAGGACTAGTCGAAACAGGCATACATAACAAATATTGGGGCTTAGCGGAAATCGAGCTGCAATACTTCAACGTACACTCGTACTCGCGTTAATGAATGACTTTTTGTGTGGGGATATTAACTTGGCTTCATACTGAACAGAAAAGATTTACGGAGGACGAACAGCACAGTGGCCTCAATGAAAAATATTTCCTTGAAGCGACTCAAAGTTTTCTGAAGGGCATTCATTTCGTGGTGCAGTCAAACAGAAACGAAAGAAAAAAACTTTGCAGTGAAACGACCAGACAACGTTTGATCGCTTGAAAAATTACAGTAATCACTGCACTGGTAAACTGGCAAACACACTGAACAATAACCACAGTAAAGCACAAAAGCGAACAAAGGACGATTTCCGCAACACCGAGAAGCAGCACCCAAACTTTCACTTACATTACTTCCATTTTGCCTTTGTCAAATTCCGGATCGTAGCAACCTTTGCTGATGCGGCTGTTGCGTTTGATGTCCGGGAACTTTAAAGCCAAGGACAACCCAAGGACATTTAAGAGTAGCACAAACACAAACTTCATTGTCAGAAGAATGGAAGGTATCGAAACTTAATGAACACCTGGAAAAGAAATGCGAACTTTCCGTGGAACCGGCGGCTTTTTGTTTGTTGTCAACTCGCGTGAAAGTCATAAGATTTACCACGTGATAAAATTCGTTCCCAGATTACAGAAGGTATTGTACGGTCAATATGGCGGCGGCTTCCTGTTCCTGAAGAGAAGTATTTTTAAAAAAGTCAGTCATTGAACGTTGGAATATCCTGTACATTGTGTTCAGTGCAAGGGATTTATTCGTGTACAGAAGTATGGTTATAGCAGGGATCTAAAGTAATACATATATCTCGTTCCTTAAAAACAGGGGCTAATTGTTAGTGTCGTATTTACAAAGTCAGGTGACACTACGGACACTACCGACAGGAAAGGCTGCGTTCCAGACGTGGAAGTTGTCCGTGAGGACATGCACGACAGTTCGTGGTGGAGGGGGCGATTTTGTACAAATGCTGCTTGGCTTTTATTTCTCAAAGGAAAATCTACAAATGTAAGCACAAAAAGGGTGATCTGGGTCAGCAGTGGTTAGCACCCATATTCTACAGACAGTTCGACCTGCTTTTCTGGCATCTCAAGTCTCTAAATTTCACTGCAAAAAGATGAAAGCTCTTTTGATTATTAGCTCTTTGCCAGACATTATTTTTATTCATGCTGACAAAGGATTTGTCAAACACATTAACAAGCTGTCACGTGAGGCTGGTTTTATAGGTGAAGACCACAATGAAGATGAAATGGACACTACGGCATTATCTCAAATATTTTCCCCAATGATCACATCACTCACTTACATGAATGAACTGGGAAACCCTTATTCATCCATCTTGTGTGAAGATGGCACATTGTTCGTCTTCAGGCAGGTGAGTGTAAGGATAGGCTCAATTTTTGCTATTCTCTGGGTCCTCCACAGGAGAGAGCTGGGGAGGAACACAGGGGTATGAAAATATTTTAGTTGGAGTTTTTATATTCGTGCAGGAGAACACGGATTTATTACCAACGCTAGACTGTTCACAGTCCCCTATTTTTCCGTGAGATCGTCGAGATCGAGTGCGTCTTACCATTAATGGCGGCCATCTTGATTTTCAGTCGTACCGAGTCTAACCTGGGGATGAGTATCAAATCTACTTAGGGGGTGGGGGACGGTTTGGGAGGAGGCGAGAAAAATATTTAATCTATTTTTCTCGCCCCCCACCCCCTAGAGCTATAATCCCCGACGCCCGCCCCCTCGGTACATCTAAAAATCAAGATGGCCACCATTAACGGTAAGACGCGCTCGATCTCGACGATCACACGGAAAAATAGGGGACTGTGAACAGTCTATACCAACGCAGGCCTATTTCCTGAACAGCAGCTGGTAATCGAGCGTTTTACTTCTATTATCTACTTTTTGCCTCTTTTTTTTTTCCTTCTTCCCCCCGCCCCTGGCCCAATGTCAAGAAAAACGTTACTGTTTGTGCAGTGTGCGTAATATTCTTCTGTTATATTCCAACATTGAATTGGGGAATGTGGGACAATTAGCAAAAGAGAAAAATCTCCTTTTTGAGGATTAAAATGGACTACTGTTACGTTGTACAGGCCCCGTGTACAACCTTCTCAACTACTTTTATTTGGGATGATAGGTTGAAAAATATTAACCTGAATTAAATTTTGACCTGTCACACATACATTGTAATCCTTAAATGACTGTGAACATAAAGGATTTATTTGTATGGGAATTTTTGTAACATTTAACCCCAAGTTTCCAAAATGGAAATCTCTTCAATCTCAGAAGATCAAAAAATAACTACACAGGGAGCAAGAACAGACTAAGTAAATAAGGTAAACTCCAGCTCAGCTAGTATTTATCTTCTTGAATCTATTGCCTGAATCCTCATACAAATCCTTTATGTTCACCGCCATTTGAGAATTATGCAATAAATTATTATACCACATGGATTAATCATAATTTATAATACATTTGTAATTGAAGTCTCATACTGAGCTTGGGCTGCCTGTGGTTAAACTTAAAGATACATGTACAGAGCAGGCCAGCTATACACTGTCTCAGTATCTTGCCTTTGGCACTGATAAAGAGAGTTTGTTTAAAAAGAACTAGTAGTTTTTATCTCAGTCTCAGTATTTTAGTCAGTTTGTCATTGGTCCCAAGGCTTCAACTGTTAATTACTGCTGGTCTTCATAAGACAATCTTAAAGGCCTTGCTTATGTCAGTTAGGGGGGTGTTTGCTCAGGACCCAGCTAGAGGCGTGAGGCTTTTGTGCCAGTGTTTTGAGTAAACAGTCACTTTTACCCTCCATGTTGAAGCCTGCCATAGTGCTTTTAGTTCTTTCTCACTATTATTTGTATGTTATGAATTCTAGTTTGATGACATGGTTTTCACAGCAGTTAATGGTGATGGAGAAGAATCAGAGGATTTTCTGAAGAGAAAGCTATTAGTCCTATTCAAGTTGGCTACTCTGCATTATGGACCATGCCTTGAACTATTAAAACCAGAAATACTATCAGCCCAGAAAAAAGCCTGGAAAACTCTGGGTGGTTTGATTGACACATGGGGTTTTCTTTCCTCACAACAACAGAGTTTCTTAGTTGAAGCTGTTGAACGAATTCATGTGAATCAAACGTTAAGTGAAATGAGTATTAAGCTTCTGGATACTACACTTAACCTGGCTAGAACTAAAGGTGAACAGAATGTGCTTCATGCTCTTCTGCTTGTCAACACCAAGCTTCTTAGTCTCTATTCCAGGTAATATGACTGTATACGGTGCTTTTTAGTTTTGTACTTTAAACTTATGTGCATGTTAATATTATTTCTCATGTTCCATTTGTGGGAGGGGTCCAGCATGCAAGGTACTATGTCTATCAGAATAATATTTTTTAAGTCTTTTGACTCATTATGGTGTGAGTGTGAACCAGATCCTTCTTTCTCATTTAAATGTATAAAGTAGAATCCTAATTCAGATCCAATATGATTTCTCTTTCCCCAGTCAAACACTGTATTATATTATTATTTTTCCCACAGTTCTTTTGAGCCGCCAGATAATTTTGAACTAATGATTTCTCTATGTTGTGGTTCATTATTATTATTCTCAGTGTAAATTTCATTCATCCCTTTGTTGGGTTTGGAAATCAGATGGAGTGATGATTGCACAATGATAAGTCAAAGGCAATAAAAGGAAAATAAGATTTGCACCAAAGACTAATTCAGTGGCAAAATATATATGTATTGCTTAAGATTGAGGGAAGGGTTTATGAAATTTGTCCTTCAACAAATTGCAATGTAGTGAAATATTCATTCAGAGAAACAAATAGGAACACATGGACTGTCTGTTTGTATCTTGAACCATTTCAAAGCAATTTTAGCAAGTTTTAGATTTCAAGTTGCTCTTACAGGAAGAAACAGGAGGGAAGGTACAACTCTAAACCTTGCCTAAACAGCTTTCCACACATTCTCTCATGAAAGTGAAACAGATTACGGTTTTCGTAGAGTCTGGGGTGCTTGTGAAAACTGACTGTTCTCCTCTATTGATGCCATTGTAAAAGTTAAAATATAATAATTCTTATTTTTTTAGTGAGAGAAAATAAAGAAGCTTTCCCAATTATATTCTTATTGTTCCAGGAAATAGAGGATATCAATTTATTCGCTTTAGTGTGGAATCACAAAGGAATTTACTAAGAGTTGGGGCAGAATGATTGGCTTAAATTGCATTCTATCTACTACCAAGGTCGTTCACCCAGTGACTTAATATGCATTGCCAGCCACTAGTAATAGTGACGTTTTCTATGCCAGACAATTCCAAGAATGTGATACCTGTCTTAGGTTTAATTATTCTTTTTTTCTTTTCTTTTCTTTTTAGTCGGAATGCATCTGAGCTTAAGGCGGCAGACATCTTAATGATTACAGTTATCTTACACAACATCTTCCCACATTCCAAACAAGCCATCCCACTAACTCTTAACAGAACACCACCTCCCCTGGCACACCCAGTGGTCCGCAAAGGAGGGCCATCAGTGTCACACCGCATTATCAGTGGCCCATTATCACAAGGGGTTTCCTCTATGCAAGGAGAAACCTCAGGGACATCTGCTCATTCTGATCCGGTAGACATCAACACATCTTCACGGAAATATGCAAGTGGAGATGCTGAGGATGTAGGATACACTGGCTCATCAGTTGAAGATGAATTTTATTCTCCACGGTCATCACCCACTCCTTTCAGTCCTGTGGACGGTAGAGAGTCTGCATCACAGGATGTTCCAAAACCTCCCAAAGAGCATTTCTTTACTCCAAGGGCTCCTACTCCAGAGTACCTAAGGAAACTGGTAAAGATGTCATGTGACTTTTATGTTATAATAATATATTACAGTCAGCTCTCTCTTAGCAGACACCTCTATTAGTATAAGACAGACACATCTCTTAGGTGCACCTAGTGTTGGTCCCTGCCATTTTTCAGTCATTTTACTGTAACTATAGTGACTCTCTATAAGATAGACACTTTTCTAAGACAGACAATGCACACTTTTAACACTGTCAACGGACAGTTGAGAATTACTTTATGCAGTGAAAAATATCTCAACATGGAAGTGTAGGTCCCCAGACTTCCATCTCTCACCCTTGGGTCACGGCACAATATGGGATGTAGGTGCTCCGCTATATTCAAGTAAATTGCAATTTAGGGGGAACAAGTTGTAACATAAACCAATACAGTACATGTATGCGTCTCCTGCAGCTCATATCTTGAAACCATGATCGTCATTTGTGAACACCGTGTGGAGAGAAACAAATGCACTGTCTTGATAACCTGTAAAACGGTTATCTTCTCTCTGTTTAAGCTGAACTCTTTTAGCCTTTAGAACTTCACAATAGTCCCACCGGAAACAAACCATTATAACATATTAATTTTTGCATGACAGCTTAACTACTTACAGTACTGTACTACAGTTTGTTTTGCAGCTAAAACTTTTACTCAAAGAAGTGTGTATATATTACTGTATTGTCATTATTTTGATGCTTTAAGTAATAAGACAACTAAGCCATGAAGTTGCGTTGGCTTGTCATGAACATTTGATCGCAAATTGAGATTGCAATCTTGTGTTTTCTTTGTTTCCTTGACAACTCACCCAGGGTAATTCTTGACTTGACCCTCTAGCCTTAGAAATAATTGTATAAATGGCTGGATTTTTGAAAACACAACTTCCAAAATAGACTTGTTCTGCCAAGCATTCTTTTTTTGTTCAAAAAGGTCTTCAATGTAGATGTTGTGGTTCAATGTTATCTTTGGTTTAAATTTTATTTCTCTTTGTTTTGGGGTATAAAGATGTATGATAATGAGTTTAAAACAAAGGGAAATAAAATGTAAACCAAGGATAAAATTGAACCACAACACAGCCAATATTTTTTCTCTTCTTATCCTCGCATTCCTCTAGTGTTTTCTCTTTTGTTTTTGCTCGTTTTCCTTCAGTTGTGTAATTTTCGGGCCCATTGGATGCAAGAAACTTAATTCTTTGGCCTTTTTTTCGTCAAGTACCGGCGAGTTTTGGTAGTTGCAAAAATCCAGCCAGATAATATTGCATTACATGTACTCTTTCTCTTTCATCATTGTTAAGGTTGAAGAAGAAGCAGAGGGTGAAACAGATGAAGAAGAACCTGACTCACACAGCTCAGACAGGCAGCATGAGTATTACCGCCAGCCAGTTTACTTAAGCTCAGACAAGTGCCCTTATTTGCCACATGTTCTCCATTTTGTTCGTCTTGGCACTGGAACTGTGTTAGTCCTTGTGAGTGAGGTAGGCAATTAGTTATAGAAACCCAGAGCTGGGGCAGTCCCCTATTAAAGCTATATAGGTTTGGCAGCCGAAAAGGGTACCGCTTTGGTATTTGGCACCATTTTTTGGTTGGGAATTAGGCATAGGTCTGTTTTAGTCTGAAGTAGGGAACGTTTTTGTGCTCTCTGGGACCGGGTCTGGCAATTGGGTAGGCTCTTAGAAAATCCCATATTTTGGTCTGTAATTGGGTAAGGGTTACAGAAAGCATACCGATAGATATGCATCTTCTAGTTGGTAAATTGGTGATGAAGGTGGCTTGGTTCTCTTCTCTCTGCTGGTTTGTCTTTTTGTGAGAATGAAATGTACTTCATGTTACCTCTCAACCAGGCATTTAACGGGGTACCAATAAACCCAAAGGGAAATACTTTGTTATCAATGAGGACACTACTACTTCTTGATGTTCTCGTTGTGCCTGTGGTGAAGTATATATTTATACTGCTTATTAAGATGTTTATGATGTTTTGCAGTGACCTCAAAATCTTCATTCCTGTTTTTCTTATTTGGGCAATCCCACGTGAATCTCCCGGAATTAAAAAAGGGCTCTGAAAAAGCTATACGTTATTATGCTTGTAGGAGCTGATCACTTTAATTTGCTTGCTTTTTAACTGTTTGTTCTCATATTTTCTCTGGTTGACAGACAAAACAGTCTAATGTGGCATCGTTCATCTACCAAGCTTTACAATCCTTGGCTAGCATCAAGCCATCTGAAGATCAGGGCCAGCGAACTGCACATCAGGCTCAAACTCTTTTGGAGAAACTGGAAGCTTCAGTCAGGAGAGTTCTAGAGCCCATTAGAACCGCTGTTGGGGTAGGGATGCAAGTAATTTTTCTATTTCTTGAAAGAACATATGCCCGGCCTAGTCACCATTTTGGTCGGGAAAAAACTGTGGTCGGATCGATCACGGACAGATTACGTGTCATTAGTATTGTGCATGTAAGGCGCTGGGTTCATAAGTGGACTGATTAACCCATACAGAATTTCATTAAAGCAATCGTTTAATGTTCCTTTTTTTTCACAGTAATTCACATGTTCCGAAAGAATAAAATAGATTTTATGCATCTGCAAAATAATAGTCTTACCTGTTAACTTCATCCCGATAACATAACTGACGACAATGACTCTGAAGATGACTACCGCGCAGGTTGTAGAAATGTCAGTCACTATCAACTGGCAACAGTCATATTCATTACCACGATCACCGGGACGATAATGCTCCACCTTCTTATAACTGACGATAGTTCAGATTTCATTGAATATTGTCCTTTTGACAACAACAGCAACAACAACAAATTTTATTGAAAATTGGAATTGAATTTATAACTAATTACATTACTTTCCCACCGGCAAATAGCTTATAAACTAATCGAGGCGGGGAGAGCTGAAGACATATTACAAGTACAAGGTTTATCTATAGATGGACTAAATAACAGTGAAGACAATACTATACAGTAAATAGAATAAACTAACATAAAACAAGGCAAGGACGTAACGATTACGAAGAGAGGCTGACCTAAAGTATTAAATAACTTAATAAGACGGGAGACTTCGACATAATCATCTTTTGACCGCAAGAAATTTAGTAATAATTCCTTTATTTTTTTACGAAAGGACGAACGTTTAAGTATTTTAATCGAATAAGGAATAGAGTTCCAAATTTGGGCGCCGATTCTAGAGAAAAAGGCATACATTTTATCGATTCTAAAGAAGGTAACATAAAACGAGTCGCTAGAGACAGATCTTGTTCTGTAGTTATGAATCTGACTTGTTTTAACAAACTGATTGAGTATACCAACTGGTGCTGTCTGTCTGTTGATATCATTCAATGAATAGCGAATGTTTACCGAATGTTATTTGTAGTTCTGCGAAATGAGACTGGATTGTCTCCCTTGTTTCTTGTTGTGGGCTACGTCAAGCTACGTAAATTTCGCTGTCAAAGGTCTTTGTGCTTTGTTTTCTGTAAAGGCTGGTCCTCATACGATTTCTACGATCGATGAAAAAAAGTTCACTGACTGTTACGGTTATGATATGGAGACAACATTAGCAGCAATAGACGCTGAGATAGGCTCATTGCCATAATTATATTTAAAAGCTGCGATCAATGAGATCGCGACGATCGTTGAACATTTTTAACAATTCTAGCGATTTTATGAAAACCAGCCCTAAAAGGACAAGAATCATAATGTTGCAGTCCTTTCTGAGAGATGAAATTGTTCACCGATTATGGGTGCAGTTATACCATAACTGTGCTTAAACCAGGGCGTGCCGAGAAAAAGTAAATTACGTAGTATGAAAAGGGCAATCTAACTTCTATTTGGTGAGCCCGGTCAGTGTAAAGCTTAGGGTTACGGTAATTGGTTTCGCTCACTTCACAGTGGCGGTGTGTTTTGTGAGAATACAAATGTGCTTTCTTTGACACCTAGGCATTTTAGGGGGTACTGGTAAACCCAAACCGGAAAAGGACACTAATGTATTTTGATACTTCAGGCGTGCCAGTAGTGTAATAGCATTATACCGCTCTTTAAGGTGTTAATGAGAAACGTTCGTGCCCTTTTTTTGTGCTAACAAAATATCCTTTACCTATTTAATATAGAAAATTCCAACACTCACAGCAAGATGTAAGACAACAAATCCGAATCGCTCGAACTTCATTAGCGATGTGAAGTGCCAGGTTGTGTAACCGAAAAGTTGTTAGTTATCCCCAGGAGAGGATTGTAAATGGCCGTTAGGTCCAGTCCCTCGTCCCTATTCGGAGAGCGTTTTCTTTGTTTGATAGCAATGGTCTCCTTGATGCGGTGCTTTATGGTGTTACTTTTCTTCGGATAGTACTTTTACATTGTGTGGGTTTATATTGTGACCCGTTGCATGACAGTGCTCGAAAACGGCAGAAGTTTCACGGGAGTGGTGTTCTTCGATCCAGGTACTTCACGTCATATCGCTGATGAAGGTCGAGTGATTCGGACCAAATATTTGTTTTTTGTCTCAAATTTCGCTCTGAGACTTGGAATTTTCTATACCAAATGTCTTCGCCATAACAGGTGAAAAACCATTTTGGTAACATCCTTTACCTAGGTTGCTGTCGAAAATCAAATTCGGAACCTGCGTTATCGCTGGGAGTTGGTTAAAAGAGGTGATTTATTAAGCTTTATGATGGCTCCAGTCGGCGCAGAGATGTCCCCCCAGCTGGAAGCATCCGTTAATGAAATGACGCGCTGCCTTAAGTCACTCTTCAGCGTCATGTTTTGTACGAGCAGGGGTGAGCCGTCCATTAGTGAACAACAATTGGCGACCATCTCACAGATCAAAGGAATGCTACAATCTCAGCTGGCCGATTTTGAGGATTACCTGCTGGTGAAAGGACAAAGAAATGTTACAATGACTGCGTATCCTTTTTTTCTCAGAACTGCGTCGGCGTTTGTTTTCTCATGATTCGCAACGGCTTTCCTGCGCTTGATTTCCCGGCCTTGGGGCCACTTGCGTCTTTATACTTTCTCCCTGTAATTAGTTTATTTATTTTTGTCAGAATCTTTACTTTTGCTGTGATTAGCTACGGAATACATCTTAAACAGTGATTTGCTGTTTTCAAAATTATTACATCTATAAGATGTCGGTAAAGGAAATCTTGCGCCGTGGTTAGCTACCCTAGAGAGCAAGATGAAGCTATGTTTCCCACATGGGATTTTCCCTTTTTTTTCGTAGGGGAATAGTTCTTGAAGATGGCGCACAAGTTCGTGACTTGAATCAGAGTTTTTTCTAGGAAAAAATAATTATGGAACAAAGCCGAAAAAACTTAGACTAATTTTTTTTTGATAAAGTCATTTCATACGTCATAAAGTCCTATCTAACAGTTTTTTTTAGACTACTTTGATGTGTGGATGCTTGTAAGAGCAGACGCATAAACGCATCCTCCCAGACACACGTCCACGTATTTTTGGATGCGTTTTGCTTCTATGTTTTGGTTTGTTATCTCTGTCTTTTTATGCAATCCCGTTTACATTGCTTAGCAATTATCAGTTATCTTGAAGACTTTCCTGGTTTGGTGCATTTCATTTATGTGGACCGCAGCAGTGACCAAGTAACCGCTCCTTCTATTAACACCACACCAAGCAAAATCCGAGACACTTCCGATCCCTGCTACGTCATCAAACAGAAAATATGGGATATGTGGGTTTACATTCATTCTTATTTACTCCTTGGTAAGTCAAATGTAATCAGATGTTGTGTTCTCGCGTTTTTTTCCAAATAATAACCAGGGATTTTATTCTCTCTATATAAATGCATGGTTACGGGCAATGTCACGGGATGTGTTTAGCATGAGAATAACACGATTTGCGGATGAAAGCAGTAAGGTTTTTAACATAGCAAGGTCACCTCCAGCCACGCTTCTATTCAAAGGCCAGGGCACTAAGCACACAACTGTAAAATGGCCTTTTTTTGGTGTCTTTAGTTTGCCATAGACGCTTTGGAAATGTCATGAACCCATTTAGGCCCGCCAAAACAAATAGGAAGGTCAGAACTCTCCAGGGCATTCCAATGTTACAAATAAATGTGTTTGGTATGTGCTATCTATTATATTCTAACGGAATATGAAAATTCCAATATATTTCTGTGACACAGCATATCCATTTTCCAGGTCACACTTTCATTGCAGTACGTGACGGAGACTTTCTGTTTACATATTGTCTTTGGTTTGAAGACTCATCCGGGAATCCTGTCGTACTGCATTGTCCTCTTCCAGTCCTCCACGGTTCGCCTCCTCCGGGAATTCTGTCGACATCATTTTACAAGTAAGTCGTCATTGGGTAAAATAAGCATCTCACATGGTTTCACCACTGTCGATGCATTCTGGTTTGTGTTGGTGTAATGGGGCCAACATTTGGGGACACAAACCGTCTCACAAGGTCACTGACCGTTTCACATGCGCATCCACTAAGTCATCTATAATGTCCAGAGCTGTCACTAAGGGAGGGGGCGGGAGTTTTTCCCTGGCTGCTTTCATAGCAAACGAAAGGAAAATAGAACCAAAAGAACGTCCTAACCATACTGGCCATACCGCTTAGTTGATTGTGTGTGCTTCAATTCATACTGCGGTCCTGAATGTATGACCTGTAGAAAAGTTATTCATAGGCGAAACAGGCCGAAAACTTGGCGGCCGTTTCCGCGAACACCTTCGAGTTGTTGGAAGAAACGACAATGACGCACCGAAACCACTAGCACACCAATTTAAATTCGCAAGTCATTCCAGCCCAGGAACCAGAGAGGCTGACTTTGAGAATACGCTAGTTTGTAGGGAAATGAAAAAGGATGTTTATACAAAGTTTAAAGGGGGTTTCTTAAGGGGAGGTTGGGGGGTGGGGAAGGGAGTTGATTATGGGAGGATATGGAAGGGCGAATAGGGTAATAGGCCTCTTTGAGAAGGTCAGTCATATGGCACAAAAACACCATGCTGGGATGCAAGAAACGTGCTGGGATAAGGCAAATAAAGGGCTTGCGTCTTTTAAATATGGTACCTTGTCCAAGTGCTTTTTTAGCGTTTTAACATGGAATTTTTGTACCACGTGGCTGCAGAGCTGCAAAGGACCTATTAGAAGCAAACCATTATCTAACCTATGCTAAAGGTTGTTCGAATCTCTGTTGTCGTTTCAGGGATCTCACTAGGCGATGCTTCCCATCAGCCCCAGCAAACGCTGTTCGTTGTTATGAGTTGATGTGTGTACATGTTGGCTTAGTCCCAGTTCAGTTCGCCACCAAACACATCCGAAGTCTCGCATCTGCGCTGTTTCAAACATCCCTGGGAGCCAATTATCCAATCAGCTTGATACAATGACGTCACGCATTTGTCATTGCATTTGTTTTAGTGTCGTATTGGTACAGATCAAGTCCTTTTCACAAGAAACGCTCATCTAGAACCTGTAAATTGTCGAAAACGACGCGTGGACTTGACATATACTTGCATTTTTTACGGTGTTCCCTTAACCCTTTAAGTCCCAATAGTGACCAAGATCAATTTTCTCCCAATGATATCCGTACATTGTCAAGAGACTAGGTTATGAGAATTAATAAAATGATCACCTAAGAGAAAATGTTTTGATCTTTTGTCAAATTCTCTCAACTCATTCTTTAAGGAAATATATAGAGATCAGTTTGGAGAATTTGTATGTGGATATTGGGGCTTAAGGGGTTAATACTTTTTGACAATACACCTTGTGCTCTTATGGCGTTGTTAGTGTTGTCAGGCCGCTATGTGGTAGACAAAGGCATACATTATGGTCACGCACGAAGAATGGCTTCGAAGCAAACTGCACAAGAATTTCTAGATTGCTGTCAGTGTAATAATGTTTTACTTGAGAAGTGTTGCCATAACAGAAAAGTTTAAAATGAAGGACCTTTTGAACTTGTGGACTTCGATTTGAATCAAACTGGTAAATTTGTAGCGAAACCGTCTGTCTTTCTTCAGGTTTGACAGCTATTTCTATTTGTTGCAGAATAAGGGACCGAGATGGTGACTAGCCATCAAACCCACTGAAAAACCCGGTAGTACCGAAATTCATACCCAGGAAAATTTCTACGGGAGGCTAGATCTCGCCTCTACCATACCCTTAAATTCTGTAATTAAAAGAAATAGCTACATTGTATCAAACCCAATGAAGAACCACTGGCATTCGTACCTGGGAAAGTGTGTATGCAGGCAGGAGCTCCCTATGCATCATACCCCAGTTCTGTACTATATAACGGAAGCTGCAAAACCCTGTAAAGGGCCACCGGCATTCATACCCTGCGAAGTGTCTACGGCAGGCAGGAGCTCCCTATTCGCGATACCCCAATTGTGTACTTCATAAAGAAAGCTGTAAAATCCTGTAAAGGACCACCGGCATTCATAACCCGCGAAGTGTCTACAGCAGACAGGAGCTCCCTATGCGCGATATCCCAATTATGTGCTTCATAAAGAAAACTGTAAAGGGCCACCGGCATTCATACCCGGCGAAGTGTCTACGGCAGGCAGGAGCTCCCTATTCGCGATATCCCAATTATGTACTTCATAAAGAAAGCTGTAAAATCCTGTAAAGGACCACCGGCATTCATAACCGGCGAAGTGTCTACAGCAGACAGGAGCTCCCTATGCGCGATATCCCAATTATGTACTTCATAAAGAAAACTGTAAAGGGCCACCGGCATTCATACCCGGCGAAGTGTCTACGGCAGGCAGGAGCTCCCTATGTGTCATATCCCAATTGTGTACTTCTTCATAAAAAAGCCGTAAAATCCTGTAAAGGACCACCGGTATTCATACCCGGCGAAGTGTCTACAGCAGACAGGAGCTCCCTATGCGCGATATCCCAATTATGTACTTCATAAAGAAAACTGTAAAGGGCCACCGGCATTCATACCCGGCGAAGTGTCTACGGCAGGCAGGAGCTCCCTATGTGTCATATCCCAATAGTTTACTTCATAAAAAAGGCCGTAAAATCCTGTAAAGGACCACCGGTATTCATACCCGGCGAAGTGTCTACAGCAGACAGGAGCTCCCTATGCGCGATATCCCAATTATGTACTTCATAAAGAAAACTGTAAAGGGCCACCGGCATTCATACCCGGCGAAGTGTCTACGGCAGGCAGGAGCTCCCTATGTGTCATATCCCAATTGTGTACTTCATAAAAAAAGCCGTAAAATCCTGTAAAGGACCACCGGTATTCATACCCGGCGAAGTGTCTACAGCAGACAGGAGCTCCCTATGCGCGATATCCCAATTATGTACTTCATAAAGAAAACTGTAAAGGGCCACCGGCATTCATACCCGGCGAAGTGTCTACGGCAGGCAGGAGCTCCCTATGTGTCATATCCCAATAGTTTACTTCATAAAAAAGGCCGTAAAATCCTGTAAAGGACCACCGGTATTCATACCCGGCGAAGTGTCTACAGCAGACAGGAGCTCCCTATGCGCGATATCCCAATTATGTACTTCATAAAGAAAACTGTAAAGGGCCACCGGCATTCATACCCGGCGAAGTGTCTACGGCAGGCAGGAGCTCCCTATGTGTCATATCCCAATAGTTTACTTCATAAAAAAAGCCGTAAAATCCTGTAAAGGACCACCGGTATTCATACCCGGCGAAGTGTCTACAGCAGACAGGAGCTCCCTATGCGCGATATCCCAATTGTGTACTTCATAAAAAAAGCCGTAAAATCCTGTAAAGGACCACCGGTATTCATAACCGGCGAAGTGTCTACAGCAGACAGGAGCTCCCTATGCGCGATATCCCAATTATGTACTTCATAAAGAAAACTGTAAAGGGCCACCGGCATTCATACCCGGCGAAGTGTCTACGGCAGGCAGGAGCTCCCTATTCGCGATACCCCAATTGTGTACTTCATAAAGAAAGCTGTAAAATCCTGTAAAGGACCACCGGCATTCATAACCGGCGAAGTGTCTACAGCAGACAGGAGCTCCCTATGCGCGATATCCCAATTATGTACTTCATAAAGAAAACTGTAAAGGGCCACCGGTATTCATACCCGGCGAAGTGTCTACAGCAGACAGGAGCTCCCTATGCGCGATATCCCAATTATGTACTTCATAAAGAAAACTGTAAAGGGCCACCGGCATTCATACCCGGCGAAGTGTCTACAGCAGACAGGAGCTCCCTATGCGCGATATCCCAATTATGTACTTCATAAAGAAAACTGTAAAGGGCCACCGGTATTCATACCCGGCGAAGTGTCTACAGCAGACAGGAGCTCGCTATGCGCGATATCCCAATTATGTACTTCATAAAGAAAACTGTAAAGGGCCACCGGCATTCATACCCGGCGAAGTGTCTACAGCAGACAGGAGCTCCCTATGCGCGATATCCCAATTATGTACTTCATAAAGAAAACTGTAAAGGGCCACCGGCATTCATACCCGGCGAAGTGTCTACGGCAGGCAGGAGCTCCCTATGTGTCATATCCCAATAGTTTACTTCATAAAAAAAGCCGTAAAATCCTGTAAAGGACCACCGGTATTCATACCCGGGAAAGTGTCCTCGGGTGGTGGGAGCTCCCTTTGAGCTTCCACCCTTTAATCCGTAGCGGCCAATTAGTTGTCCTCAGCGGTAGGTCAGTACGTGAGAGCCACGCTTGATAAGAACATTCAGTTTGATCTTCTTTTTTTATGACGGCCAGAGCTCAGAGACATTCAGTGTTGTGGTTTAGAATTGTGCCTTCATGGAAATAAGACAGATTTGATTTTATAAGATCGTGTTTGGCTTATCACACTTGGATTTTGAGGAATTCTTTCAATTCGCAAAAGTCAAATCCACTAGGGCAAATCACTTGTACAAGCTTTATTGTAAATTATCTAGAATCAACTGTTTTAAATATTCTTTTTTTAACAATGTAATTAGTTATTGAAACAATTTACCTAGTAATGTTGTTGAAGCCGGTACCCTTGAACTTTTTAAATGTAAACTCAAATCCTTTTTAAAGTTGTAATTTTTATTGTTTGTTTGTTGTTTTTAGGAGAGTTTTATTCACAGGGTTAACCTCTAGACTCTCCCTTTCAAATTTATGTAGTTATATATGAGTTTGAATAAACATGTATGTTATGATAAGGATGAAAATGTACGATAATAATTAAAGAAAACTCGAGGTGGGCCTGGTTGGCGCGCTCCCTTATGTTTCGTGCTAATAACTCCAGGGGAAAAGCAAGTAAAGGATTTACTTCAAAGATGCATCTTCATTTTAAGGTAACCAGATGTTCCTTTGGTCTTTAATATATAAATTAATTTTTTTTCACTTTCTATGAAGTGACGTAAGTAAGTTATAAAATTCTTTGTCGCCTCTTTGGGGTTATTCACTGAAGCATATCAATCGCTTATCAATAATTAAGCCAATAGGCCAGTAGTAACTCAGACTTTTATTTACCAATGAACGATTTTTTTTTTCACCGCTGTTTGCCACAATGTTCTTGCCTTGCCTAGTCTCTAGGCCTCATTATTTTGGGCGGCCAATCTACATCCTGTCAGGGTACCACGGCTGTAAATCCCCGCATAAGGTGTCGTACCGTCAGGGTTGTATCAGCCAACTAATACAACAGATACAAGGCGGTATAACTCCCAGTCCAACTCAATGCTCCATAACTTCAGATAGGTCTGCTACCCGTGGGAAGGCTAGGTTTATTGCTCAACCAGAACGAAAGCCATGTAAACCTCTCACCATTATCACCACCTGTCATTTACCCGAGATGAAGCCGTCATCCTTTGAACGTGGGTATTGGCCTTTACAGGACGAGCAATGAATTAAATCTTTTGCCGTTTCAACATCTTTTCTTGTGTTCATGAAAGGACAGACGTTCGTTTCAGGATTTCTACGAAAATCAAGAAATAAATTTTGTAACGTTTTGTCAGTTTCACAAGAGTATGTATATTAGGTTGCATACCGCACAAGTGTTTGAGGCGTGCTTGTAAGGTGTCCGGAAAGGGGCTAGTACACGATTTAAGGTTTGTTAAGCTATGCAAGAGCCATTCGAAACATCTCTTTCAACCCCAAATTTTTTATTTTATTTACTGTTGTAATTTTCCCTGAGTTTGTAAAACTGTAACGCTGTTTTTTGTAACCTCGCTTCAGCCCTTTGTAAACATCCAGCTTGAGCCGAAGGAGTTAATGTTATAGTTAATTTTTTACCTCACTTAATTTTTATTCTTCTTTAGTTTTAACATCATTAGCACACATTACCATACAAGCCCTCCAACAAAAGCGAAAAGAAGACAAACGCATTTTGCCTTTTGTAACCCAATTTTTTTTTCTGTACCTAACTTGAAACAAATTCTTATGAGCAAATGGCATTCGATTACTAACCAACCATTACTTAAAGAAATATTTGAGGAGCCTCCATTAATATCATACAAGAAAGGGCGGTCTTTACAGGATATACTCGTAAGAGTAAATCTGTCATAACGGCTAAAACACGAGCGAGGGAGTCGCGCAGGCCTGTCACCCCCATTTTACACTGTTTTTGTAGTAGCTCAACCAATCAGAACCAATAGACCATTAGTTGCATTTTACTAATATCCTATATCAAAGCAATCGAAGTGCACCAGAGCAGAATTTCTCGTTAATATGAATCAGAATTTGTTTATGTGAGGTAATTTTAGACGATCCGATTGAGATTTATAAGCGGAGCCTCAAACTATGTTGCAATAACTTAATGTAGGAAGGATTAGCGAACGGTATAATCCTTGTAAGGATTTTGACGATAAATAGAAGCTAGCCTAATTCGTGAAATGTTCCAATAGACTTCGAGACTTAAATAACTGGCCACATGAAACTAGGAACTTTCGGTTTTCAGGTAAAATTTTCAACAGTGATCACTTCATCTTTTTGGCGGGTTTAACAATTTATTCAATTCATTAGTCAGTGGATCAACCAAACAACTCCGGATATTTGCTAGACAGAACGAAAAACGTTGTTATCAACAGCAAATAAAATCAGTTGTAACATCATAGTTGATAATAGTTGATATGGTGAAATGGTTATCAAGCCTGTCAGATGTCTTTGTTACACATGGAGGTCTGCTGTGATTGGTCTACAATTTTTTTAGTCGCTCAAATTAAATTAGCAGACGTTAGTGGGGCAGGAACGCGAGACAAACCCCTAAGAACGTCTGCGTGGGAGGCTACTGGTTTCATTTCACAACCGCTGATAGGGGAGACATACGGTTTTCAAAAAAAATCACTGGAATACGTATCTCACAAACCCTCGCGAAACTCGGTGCTGCACACACTTCAAGAGCTGCCGGTTCCGGTTAGAAACTGGTTGGATGACCAGCGGCGAATAACCTGTCGTGAGGCCTCCTACTTCTTCGTTTTTTGTTTCATTGTTCTATTTGATTCTTGAACGCGTATATTTCAAAGCATATTTAGCATAATTTCGTCGCCGGATGTAAATAAGGAATCTTTTTTTTTCCAAGCTTGCGAGCGGGCGGAATCCTCCAAATCCTGCAATCTGATTGGTTTCGAGAGCGGGCGGTATTTTACGATCTTGCCCGCTAACCCGGGCGGAATCGTTGGCAGCTTCATTCACAAGTTTGTTTGTTGTTTGTGAATGAGCAAAAACCGTCATTTCCAAACAATTTTTCTCTTAAAACTTGCGCTATTATTAGCATTAGCTAGGGCAAAGTGAATTTTATTGTTCAGACAAAAAATCTGAAGGGAGAATCAAGCAAGCCAGCCAGCTAAAGTAAAGCAAAACACGTGACTCGTGATGTTGCTTCACTAGCTTTATAACCGCGCTGTAAGTACTGCAATCTTGCTTTTATGCACCGTTTATTGAACATTTTTGCTCTGTTCGTAGTTTTGTTTTCCATTTTTGCTGTATGAATCTAGATTCTACCGTTTTTCATTGAATTTTGCCTCGCTAGTTTTCTACTTATCAGAAAGGTTTTTGTCAATGATTGCATTTAACTTTCAATCTTAAATCATTTTTCCAGCAGTCGGTTATCGCCTTTTTCATTTCTTTGTTTATAACTTGTTACCCACATCGCCTTCTTTTATTAGAATTCAATTCAAAACCTTAAAATTGAAATTTGTAATTAGCTATGTTTACAAAGCCTTCGTGCAGTTTTCATCCCACTCGATTGAACTAATCTTAAAGCAATTTTTGAATTATTCAGCCGAAGAAAATCGTTGCTGTATTTTTTTTCCTGTTTTAATGTCAAGCTCGTCAATTCTTTTATCCTTGTTTAACACTCAGATTATGAATTGTCTAGCAAGACACAAAAACCTTTCTTTATTCTAAAAGAGAGCAGTAAGTGCCATAATATAAATTACCGAGCTAAAAATATTGTTTTGGTTTGCAATAATCGATCGCGCGCTTCATCAACACGAACGCGTCCTACTTTGACACATATAGGTTGGAGAGTGAAGGAAAATTTTCCTAAAACTTTTTAATCTCAGTGGGAAAAATTAAAAATGTTATTCACCGACCTAGGTCGGTAAGTATTGGGGGAAACTGTGCCCGAGGTCTTGAGTTACGTCGATAAAGTAGGAAGTAAAAAACCTTTAGCGAGTAAATCCTGTTTTGTGTGGAATTAATCGCCTCCTCATTTCTCGATCTAATCTCCAAGTAAGCGAGACTGACCCTGTTGTATAAAGCGTTCTTCTTCATGTTTCAGCTCCTTACATCGATCAGCCGTTGAACCGTGTGCAAGGATAGATATATGTTCACCGGCTGGGAGGTCCGTATTGGGAGAAACTCGGCGCAGTTCAACGGCTGATCGATGTAAGGAGCTGAAACATGAACAAGAAACATGAACAAGAACGCTCTATAAAGCGGCCGTATTTTTATTTGTTTCCGAACTGATTTAGTACACGTGTTAGCGACGACCGGAAATACGTCTGCGGTCGCAGGCTATACGCGTATATAAATACACGAAAATTCAAGGGCCACGATTCGAGAGAAATTACATCATTGTCAGAGATCAAAAAAGTGATTTACATGGCACGTCATTTCAATCATCACCGAAAATAAACCACATGCTCATCACAAGGCCATTTGCATACAATGAAAGTTTACAACGCCCGACCATCGCAGTTTTGCCAATAAAGGTTCTTATTTTTTTCGACCACTCAGTAGTGTTCACTTGTTCCAAAGTAATCATCCCTTTCAAGCGGTAGAATTCGTGGACCGACACTTTTCGGAAAAACTCTAAATGCTTTCTTCGCAAACATGCCTGGCTTCGTTCACGCAACGATCCTTAGTTCCAGTTTCCACGGTCTCTGCAAGGAACGCCTGGCACAATGAGCCCCCTTTTGTCGGTGTCCTAAATACGACAGAAAACGCGTTGCAGATTATGAGCCTCGCTGCTTACGCAAACGGGACTAATAACCATTCAAAGCTTTATTTTTATAATAATAATAATAATAATGGAATTTATATAGCGCTTATACAATGTAAAAATGTCTAAGCGCTTTACAATGTAAAAAAGGACATAAGAATATCATTACATAAGAATATCATTACATATAACCCTACTGTACATATTGTGAAATTTATAGCATACACATCTTAAAAAGGCAAGAAAACAAAAACAAATATGATGAAACTAAATGTCATATACCTTTTTAAAAAGGAACGTTTTCAATTTAGATTTAAAAAGATTAACATCAGAACAAGCTCCATAGTCGGGGGGCAGCAACGGAAAACGCTCGCTGGCCATAAGTTTTCATGTTAAAATTTGGTTCTTCAAGGCGTAAATGATCCCTTGATGACCGTAATGTCCTTGTTTGATGGTAAAATTTTAAAATATCTCCAAGATAACGGGGACCGGAGCCATTCAATGTTTTAAAAGTTATTAAATCTATTTTAAAAACAATTCTCTCCTCAACAGGAAGCCAGTGAAGATCTCTTAGTGTCTCGGTGATGTGATCTCGTTTTTTGAGACCGGCGATAATTCGAGCAGCCGCATTCTGAACGGACTGCAACTTAACTATGTCCCGTTTTTGGGCACCAAAAAGAACAGAATTACAAAAGTCTAACTTTGAGCTAACAAAACTGTGAATTAGAATTTCTGTGGTACTTTTACTGACGTATTTTCTTACTTTAGAAATATTTCGTATGTGATAGAAGGCACCCTTAACTATTGTATTAACATGAGGTGAAAGTGACATTGCCTCGTCAAAAATCACGCCAAGATTGCGAGCCTGTTGAGAGGGCCTGATGCTTTCCATGCAAACAGAAATCGTGGGAGGGGGCAACGAATGACGAAAACGGGAGTGCAGAAAGAGAAATTCTGATTTATCATTGTTAAGCTTTAACTTGTTGGCAGTCATCCACAAATTGATGTCAGCAATGCAGTTCTCAACACGTTGTTTTGCAGCCACTAGATCAGAGGTGTCATTACAAGCAAAAGATGTATAAAGCTGCGAGTCATCAGCATAAAAGTGAAACGACAAGCCATGCTCACGAACAATATCACCCAGTGGAGATGTATACAATAAGTAAAGCATGGGGCCTAGGACCGAACCTTGAGGCACACCCCAATGAAGGGGTAGTACTGTGGATGAAACGTCGTCTACTTTCACAAGCTGAGTACGGTCTGTAAGGTAAGATCGTAGCCAATCCAGGGCTTTTCCTTTGATACCGAACCTAGAGGAGAGTCTTCCTAGAAGAATTTCATGATCAACCGTATCAAAGGCTGCAGAAAGATCCAATAGCAAAAGCAAAACACCGCGATCACTATCGATGGCTTTGAGGATATCATCCTGTACTCGAATCAGAGCTGTTTTACAGCTATGATTAGCTTTATAAGCAGACTGAAGTTCCTCATTTGATTCATTTGAACATAAATATTACCAGAGTTGCGTAGCCGCTACTTTTTCTGTCGTCTTGGACACAAGCATGAGGTTCGATACCGGTTTGAAGCTCGGATAGAGCTCGGTGTCAAGGGACGGTTTTTTAAGAAGAGGAGATAAAATAGCCCTTTTCATAGGCAGACGAACTTCACCACTTTCTAAAGAGCAATTAACAATCTTTGTTATGATTGGTACCAAATCAGAAAAGCACAACTTAAGTAAGTTAGAAGGAATCGGGTCTAGAAGGCACGACTTCCTAGTCATTTTAGTAATTAATTTGCTAAGTTCGACAGCAGTAGTTGGCTTGAACTGGTTAAACTCGCATTGAATAGAGGGATTATTAAAACGGGAAAATCGGAAAGGGATATCAGGCAGTGCCAAAGAGTCTAGATTCGATCGAATTGTGGCAATCTTGCTTGAGAAAAAATCCGCGAAGTTGTTACATAATTCTTTTGCATACTCGCAAGAAGGGTAACACTTCTCCGGTGTCAGGTTTAATATGCGGTCAATGGCGGAAAACATGCAACACCTTGTGATTGCCTTTGTTTTCTTTTATCAAATCAGAGTATAACTCCATCTTTGCCGATGTAATTAAAGACCTGATTTGTTTGCATTTGTCTTTGTGTAGTTGTTGGTGTACAGTTAGTTTGGTTTTTCGCCAGTGCTTCTCCAGTTTACGCCGATCACGCTTTGCAGATGCAATTTCATCATTATACCATGGCGTGGAAGGCCTTAAGGTGACCACACATCTTTTTAGGGGCGCACGGATTTCAAGCAAACCATCAAGATCATTTTGATACTGTGCTAATAAATCGGTTACATTTGTAGCCGTGGAGGTGAAAACAGGTAAAGTTGTCAGATCTCTCCGTAAAGCCTCCATATTTCAGGGAAAAGCAAGGTTTTGTCGGTAAAAAGCACATGACCGGTAGTTAATTGGAACACTCGACTGATAAAGACGTTGTGGTCAACGTTGAAATAAACTTTTTTTTTCAAATTACTTTGCTCTGAACCGTTATATATTTCTGACAAGGCTATCTTCAATGGTTGAAGCTTGTTGTTGAGAAGACAAGCCACTCTGCATTTGCTGATAACTAATATTTCGCGCTGACGACAAAATGACAAAACATTACTACTTTAATACTACGCAACACGCTTTAGTGTGTTATATATTTTATAAATTTAATCACATCAGGCATTAACAAAGCTAGGAACACCGTATTTTCTCAGAAAAGCGCCCATGCACTAACTCAAAAATTACATAAAATGTGGTTGCTGCGACTGAGTTGGTTAAGTCACCACACAACTTTTACGATGGTAAATTAAGATGTTGTGGACTCCATTGATATAATTTCATCTGTACGACTTTCTTACATACTGAAATAGCCACCTAGCCTGCGTGGCAGGGGGTGTCAGTAAAACGCGGGGTTGGGGTCTCTTTTTTTTAAAGAATGCTGTTTTAGGTTTAGGTTAGGGTTAGGGTTAGGGTTCGGTTTAGGGTTAGGTCAGGGTTATTTAGGGTTAGGGTTAAGGTTAGTGTCAACCCTAACCCTAACCCTAAAACAGTATTCTTGAAAAAAAAGATAGACTACGACCCGGGCCCCGACCCCGACCCCGACCCCGCGTTTTACTGACACCCCGTGGCAGCCGCCGGATAGATTTTTCGCTCGCGTGTCGTCGAAATCTCTCCCTTCGCCTTCTTTGCTTTCGATTTTGGCGTACTCCAGAAAAAGACAAAAGAAGGCTCTTATCGCAGGGTGTAACATAGCGATCAATCACGTCCCCTCCCTTTATATTCAGATGGCAGGTTGCCAAAGGAGCCGATTTACCTGCTTCTTTAAAATGCAAGCCAAAATCAAGAAGGGGAAGAGATATGAACGGGAGTATGTCCTGCGTTGCAGGCGCCGGATTTAGGGCTAAGGATGAAATCTCTGATGACGCGCGTTCCCCTCGCGCGGCCTGTTGAATTAACAATTAATGAATTAGGCTGAGTAGGATATGAAGAATTATGCAGATCGAGAGGAGTGTTATCCACCTCGGCCGATAACACCCTCCGAGATCTGCATAATTCTTTATATCCTACAAAAGCCGAATTCATTAATTGCTTTATTATTCACTCAGAATAATTCCTAGTTTAAAAACAAGCTAAAACATACTTACCTTCGTCGATGTTGAGTTCACCTCGATAGTACATGTTTAGAAGATAAAGGGCTGTTCAGGTCTGCAAATATACTCCAGATAGCAGATGTTATCCGTCGAGTTGTCTTTTTGCTATTTTTTTTAGACAATAGTTCGTCGCGAAACGAGTAAAATGTTCCGCCGACTGTTCGGACATTTTAATTTTCACAACAACCAAAACAACTCAACTTCGTCCCCTGGTCTTCGCGGTTAACGGTGCATTAACCAGCAACTGTGCTGCGCTTTTGACGTCATCGGTTGATTAATCGTAAAATTCTTCCAAATTTTGTCAACAGTGGCTGGTTATGGTGAATTATGCGTATGCTTTAAGCCAATCAGAAAAGGAGAAATATTTTGAATGAATAATGATAAATAATAAGCGGCGGCTGCAACGCAGGCTAAAGGGAGTACAAGTAGTTAAACAAACAGGTCAGTTTTACACTTTCAGCTTAATACTTTATTACGCAAACTCTAGAAATTTACGTGCTTATGAAATTTAAACAGTGGGAAACAGAAGTACGACTGTAAAAAATATTGCTTGACTATTTCTTTCAAAACCTGTCTCTTTAAATGCATACAGCCATAATCCTTAAAGATTTTTGAAAAATGAGTACTTTACTACCAGGAGAACGTTGCTAGAAAAAAAAAAAAACTTCGGCAATTTCTTAACATCATTCATTATTTTAGTCCCCTTTTACTATAGGCACAGCAAATGTGCAGTCCTCTTCAATTCCGAGGTTGAATTGGTCTCCGTTTCCATATTTGTATGCACTGGTTACGATCCTCAGCCAACCCTCTTCTCCCCAGGGGACACCCCATGAGTTACGCACAATCCAGTACTCTGTTCCATTCTCAACACCCCAGCCAACAACAGATACAATGTGGTTGCTTCTACAGTAAGAGTGATATTCAGTGTAGATACCTCCTTTGTATGCCTCGAGTTTCGAAGTGGCCATTATGCTACATGCAATGGGACCCCTGGCATAGATTTCGGCCATCATTTTATGACGTCCACTAACTCTACCTGCAAGACAATACGAGAAGGATTCTTGATACTAAAATAACAGAAATGCTCGAATTAGCATCCCTTAACGTTTAAAGTAATAAGCTCCCCACCCCCCTTAACTTAACATCCCTCCAAGCTTAATATCATATCATACAATACATTATATAGCGGTAACATATTATATACATGTAATTTGAGGTCAGACACCTCTGACAACATAGCCTGTACCAGGTTCTCAGATACATAGGGAAGTTGCAAAAACCTGTGTGATCTGTGTACCAGTAGCGGCACATAACTATGTTATAGCCTGGAGCAGGGCATACTATGTTGGAGCCTGGAACACTGCTACTGACAAAGAAATGTATCTGTAGCACACACACAACTTTGGGTACTAATAAAAAGAAATGTTCAAGAGTTTGCCCGTTTCCAAGTAATGTCACAGTTTTCGGCCATATGAAGCCGGGACAAACGGTACTAAGTGTCCCCTCTAAATAACTACTCCCCCCCTGACATAACTCGAAGCTCTTGTTTTTTCAAGTTATAATGTTGTTGGACTTCAGCCTTCCTGGTCAACTATTTCACATTGAAAGGTTTGTTGATTGGGGTGACTTGGAAATTGCCTATTTCGACTGACATGCACAGAGTGGGCACAGAGCTATCACCAAGATTTCAAGGTACTGGGTACAGGCGGGGTATAGGCAGGGAATTGACCAACTTTGAAGCTCTTTTGGTTTATATCCTTTTGTTTCCTATTTAAAAATAGCCTTGGCTCATGCTCATACAGACTGTAACAGTCCACGCGCCCTAGTGGCAGCCCCCAGGGGGTTTTTTTTTTTTTTTTTTTTTATTTTATTTATTTATTTTCTTTTTACAGGTATAGTACAAACAACATACAGATCGAAACATACAAACATTACAAAATTTACAACAACTACCTTAATTACAAAAAAAAAATAGAAAATAGAATAAATAAATAAAAAGCTACACTGCACTACACTACAAGGCTTACATAACTTATTCGACTTGAACTTAAAATACAGAGTAATACAGGGAGTATTAGAAAAACGAAGTTTGGATAACAGCTACTGTTGTATTAATGGGAGTAACGGCTTCCATTTTTATCATGGAAATGGATTTTGTTGTTTTTTTCGCGATAAAACGTTCGGTTTGAAACGTTTTTTAAATTTATCGACTAACAGTCTTACACATAAACAGCCCTTATTTAACTTACAGCGGTAAATAAAATATTTGCTTTCAAGAATGATGTAATTGACTAGAATGCTTATATTATCTGTATCTAGGATCCCAAAAAGGACATTCATGATATCAAATCTAATAGTTATATTAAAAGAATCAAGTACAGACTTTAAATCATTCCAAAACATGCTTACTTTTGTACAATGGAAAAAGAGATGTTCTATCGTCTCCAACTCCTTTTCACAAAAATCGCACAAGGGAGAATCTACTTTTTTGAACTTAAACAGCATCTTGTTCGTGTATAAGATCCTGTTTAATATTTTATATTGGAATTCTCTTAATTTAGTATCGAATGTTGTTTTGAAGGGCAGTAGATATATCTTTTCCCAGTCCAACTGAAATGTGTGTGTGCTGAAAGCTTCGTTATATTTCTTTTGCGCTGTTGGTATACTGGATATCTTAGAAACAAAACTGTCATATAATGACTTTGATTTAAGATTTTGGAAATTGACTTTTTTCCCTTCAATACGTAACTTGAAATCAGTTTGGATTAGATCATGAGTTTTTGAAGAGATAGAGTTTTTATTTGTTTTTAATATTTTGCGCCATTCTTCAGGAAAAGCATTGAAGAGACTGAAAAGTAGAAAATGTTCAACTGGTGAGAGAGCTGAATATAATGGTTCCTTGTTCGACTTGAAACCTCCCCACGTGTTGTAGAGGTCTCCAATTTTTACAATTCCAAGATCAATCAGCCTACTGTTATAGACTGACTTTGATTCAATACAAATAAACTGGTTGTTCCATATGACCTGATTTGCTATTTCAGAGGATGAGGAGGGGTTGTCTTCATTTAAAAGGGTCCACGCCACAATGCATTCTTTGTAAAATTCTGGAAGAGTTACCGGTAGTTTAGTGTAGTTAAAATTGCAATGAAACAAGAATTTTCCCCCTACTTTCTTAAGATAAAAATCCAGAAAAAACTTCCAGCCAGCGGGGTCAATGGAGAGATATCTCTTAATACAAATTATTCTTTGGGCAGAGATCATGGACTCAATGTTGGGCATTTTCAAGCCTCCTTTATCAATAGGGTTAATAAAAGCTCTGCGCTTTACTTTATCTTTTCCCTTCCAAACAAAGGAATATAGCAAAGTATTTATTTTTTTGATAAACTCTTCTTTATTTGAAATGAGAACCCTGTATAAAATCTTTGGTATGGCGAAAGACTTGATCACTTGAATTTTTCCAAGTAGTGTAAGACCTCTCCAGCTCCAGCTCTTCAGCAATCCCCTCAGAGATTTCTCGATTGATTCAAAGTTAAGCTTATAAAACAGTGCGTGATTAAAGGTGAAATGAACCCCTAGGATCTTTATGGCCTTACTTATTTCATTAACACCTAGTTCTGAGCTGTTTACTTCCATACTTCCTAGTAGAAGAATTTCCGTTTTGTCGTGATTGACCTTCAATCCGGAGTATGTACTAAACAGATCGATAGTATCAAAAAGGGTGCGATGCGAAAATTTGTCCCTAACAAATGATGTCATATCGTCAGCGAATATAACTAATTTGATTTCGGAACCATCCACCTCAATACCCTTAATTTGATCGTTATTACGTATGGATAATGCCAATAATTCAAGTACTATTATGAAAAGAGATGGCGAGAGTGGGTCGCCCTGGCGAACACCCCGTTTAACATTGAAAGAGGGGGTGGAAAAACCATTATTGAAAACACAACTTGATATATTATTATAAAACGTCTTGATCCACCCCAAGAAGGATTCTCCAAAGCCAAAGAACTCTAGCGATTTGTGGAGGAAGTTCCAATTTAGAGAATCGAAGGCTTTCTCAAAATCAATTGCAGTCATTATACCTTGGTAGTCTCGCATTTTAGTAAATTCCAACACATCGGTTATCGTACGAGTTGCATCAAAAATTGTTCGTCCTTTTACAAAGGCATTCTGGTCATAATGGATAATATGTGGTAGGACATTTTCTAGCCTTTTAGCGATAGCTTTTGAGCCAATTTTAACATCAACATTTACCAGGGAAATCGGTCTCCAGTTTTTTATCCATCTCCTATCTTTGTCCTTTTTCTCAATTAAAGTTATTACGGCTTGCTTTTGCGAATGTGATAATTCACCATGAAAATACGCATAATTTAATGAGTCCACTAGAAATGTTCCGATTTCTGACCAGAAGAACTTGTAAAATTCTATAGTGAGGCCATCGTTTCCAGGAGTTTTATCGTTACTAAAGGTAGACAGAACCTTGAAACATTCGGAATATGTTAATTGACCCTCGCACGTTTCCCGCATTGAGTCGGTTAACTTAGGAGATGAGAGGGTATCTTCCAGAAAAGGACAAATCGAATAGTCAGTTTGTATTCTCTTTTCGTCATAAAGTTCAGAATAAAAACTGTGAATTTCAGTCATAATAGTGTCCGGAACAGTAGTCTCTTCTCCATTTGCTCGAATAAGTTTTCGTATGCAGCTTTTTTTTTCTTATTTCTGTTTTCCAGATTTAGAAAATACTTGTTGTTTCTTTCCCTTGTTCAAACCATGTAGCGCGGGAACGAATGATTGAGCCTCTTACAATGTAATCATACTCTTGTTCGTATTCTGTTTTGACCGATTCGAGGTTGGCAAGGTTTTCTTGCGTCGGTGATTCTGCTATTTTTTCCTCACATATTTTAAGCCTGTTTTCAATTGTTTGAATTCTATTTCTCCTTTCTTTAGCTTTCAGTTTGCTATACGATATACTTTCCCCGCGAATTTTGTATTTCATCCAGTCCCATTTAATTCTCGAATCATCACAAAAATTAATTTCGTCTATCCACTTAGGAAAGTTCTCGCGTAAACGCTCAACGAAAAAAGCGTCATCCAAGAGACTGTTATTGAACTTCCAAAAAGATGGGCCACGCTGCTGATCATTTAGACTGTCAATTTCTAAAGTTATTGCATGGTGATCCGTTCTTATAGCTGTCACTATGTCGACTTTAGCTACGTCATCTTGTAATAGGTCACTAATGAGCCAATAATCAAGGCGTCTTTGAATAATTGGGTTTTTTTTTTTTTGTCTCCAAGAAAATTTCTTGCTATTAGGATTACGGATTCTCCAGATGTCAACTAAATCATAATTCAGCATAATGTCCTCCACACACTTAACTGAGTCTTTTAACACAGGGTTTCCACCCGAACAATCTAGGTCTGGGTCCATAGTTACGTTCCAATCCCCTCCTAATATAATTTTGTAGTCAAAATCATTGTATCCCTCATCATAGATAAGCTCAGACAATGTTTGGAAGAATAACGATTGCTTAGTGGTGGTATTGGGAGCGTAAATATTTATCAGAAGGAATGGAACATCTTGAATAGTTGTCTCTAAAATGAGGTACCTCCCATCCTCATCCGATCGAATTGATTTCAATTTGAAGTCAAAGGATTTACGTATAAGGATGGCGACCCCACGACTATGGTTAGAGCCATGAGCGAAGTAAATGTCCCCGGACCACTGCTTTTTCCATTGATTTTCAATCTCTTCAGTGCTGTAAGTTTCCTGCAGAAAGCAGATGTCTGAATTTTGCTTGTATAGCCAGTTGAAAATGGACTTACGTTTTTCAAAAGAACGGATACCCCGAACGTTCAGCGAAAGAGTTTTAAACTTTAAGTTGTTGAAATCCATTGAAATTTGCATACGTGAAGTGGAAAAAAGACAACAACAGTAGCTGTTATTCCCAGAAGGGTCACTATTACTCGAACAATTAACGCATTCCTGATTTTGTCAAGTGCAAACTGAATAAATATAGAATAACATACATAACAAAACAAAAGAAACGAGATGAAAAACGTAGCCAGTGTAAAGAATTAAACTGTTGAAGCTACGCCTGGACGAGATCAAGTGTTATACTTTTGTTTAAATCGAACTTCAGAAGAGAACTAAGGAATATGCTAATCGATAGCTCCCAATAGAAACGAAAAAAATAAGAAGTGAACTACTTCCTGCGAATTCTAAAAATAAATAACCTGGAACCTATTTATTTATGATTTTACCTCCACACCGTCAATAAAGAGTTTATAGGGTTCCGTTCTACTGAAGGCTGCCCGTTTTCCATCTTTTCTTGCTTGTACCATCTTCGGAATAAGCCTCTTCCTCATATCAATCACCTGCTTAGGTAGATCTGGGCCAATACCGAAATTCGACTGGCTATCGATGTTGCGTCGGCTAGAAAAGAGGCTTTCTCGATCTTTAAAGCGAAGACAGCGTGCTATGATGGCCCTGGGTTTTCTTGTGTTTCGGTCCTTTTTACCGACGCGGTGGACTCTTTGGAACTCAATAGATTGGGCGTTTTCCACATTTAACTCTTTCTCCAAGAAACCTTTCAAAACGGGTTCAGTATTCTCTTCCCCTTCGATTTCTGGAATGCCGTAGAAACGAAGATTTTCGCGGCGGCTGTACACTTCATAATTTAAGAGTTGGAGACGCAAGTGATCCAACTCCTGTCGTGACTTCTCTTCGTCATCTCGGAGTTTTCTCTTACTGGTTTCCACTTCATCATTCAGGAATTTTACGCTTGTTTTAAGCGTATTTGTTTCTTCGACTGTATTTCGTACGTCTTCCTTTAAGCGGTGGAATTCGCTTTGAAGGTTTGCGACCGTTTGATTTATTCGATCCACAGAGTCCTGTAAAACATTTATTTGTGTGCCGATATTCTCCAGTTGACTTAACTTTGATAATATTAGGTCCACTTTGGAGGCGAAATCTTGTGCCATATTGAGGGCAGACAGAACTACGTCTTCAGAATCGTTCTTCGACTTTGGTGGCGATACAATGGCGGGTGGAGCGTTCGCTTGGTCTTCTTTCACACTCTCTTTCAACCGCTTCGTTTCGGGGGAAACGGTCTCGCTGGTCGGTGAATTACTCCCTCTCGTTTTCCGTTTAAACAGAGATGAAAGTGGCGATGAAAATTCCATAAAAAATATCAGAACGCATGGAAGAGTACAACAAAAGTTACGGAGCTAACAATCACACGTCCTTACTCAGTCATGCTCAGTCCCAGTCCGGGGGGGGTACTTTAGGAATTTCTGGGTGGGGATGTACCACTGGGACCCTGGAACCCTTAACCTATACCAGAGCTAGTTCAGCTGAATTTTGCTACCCTATACTAGAGTAAACTCCCCAAATCCCCCCTATCCTAGAGTAGCTGTTTCCCTAGTCTAGATAAAATCTTCAACCAACTGATCAGTTCCTGAAAAATGATACCCTATTCTAGACCCAAACTCTCTGATTTATATACCCTATCCTAGAGTAAACTGCTTGAAAACCATAACCTTCACAGCGGCACATACCTATATGGCATATGGCCAATATATGGCAGTGCCCCCCCCCCCGGTGGCAGCCCTGCAAATAAACATTAATTTCTGAAGGATATTTTAGTCAGCACTACCTCTTACCATAATCGCTGACCTTCCACTTTTTGTAGTTGGTAATAGCATGGCACTCTCCGAACCTGGTGCATGTGCCACACTCATTGAATGCCGTGCACCTTCCATCTCTGGCTTGATAATTATTGCAGGTTTCACTAGGTATACCTTCCCGAGAAGCATATTGATATACACCAATCATTCCACCTCCATGGCAGGTCCCTGCATTACCTGTTGTAAAAATCATATCATTCATAAGTACTGGCATCTAAGTGGCATTACTAAACTGTGCTGCAATTTAGAAAAAACTGCAAACATGAGAAATACTTCTGGAATATAATGCCATTGTGTTTCAAAGAAAATGTCAATCAGGTGTGAGAAAACCACAGGGCAAGCAACAACTTAAAGTAATTTACAGCCAGTTTATAATTTGTGGCTTCCTCGCATGTCTTCATCTTTGTTGTGACTCATCGCAACACACAAACATTCCTGAAGTATTTCTAGCTTTTACAAGTTTCTCATTTTGGCAGCTGAAGCAGGAATCAAAATGTCAAGAGATAACGGCTGTTAGCTGAAAAAAAATATTTTAATTACTACTTATGATCTGGAACTTGTGGCACCCAGTACCGCTGTAAATCTACAAAATTAAATGTATTTGTATACGGAAACACCTGTTGAAGCCACCTCTCCCGGTCCACGAAAAGGCAGAAAACTCCCTGTCTCCTGTACAAACTCACCAAAATTCCTGGTAACGGTAAAATGGTATTTTGAGCTTTTCTGTGCTATTGTCTGGCATTTAGATTTAAATTGTAAAAGTCCCAAAAGGTTTTGCCTTTAGAGTTCAGATTACAGCTTCTGCATCTTTTGTGTTTTACATCGCTGTCAAAGACTAATTTCATTGTTGCAGCCACAGGTGTAATTGTTGATTAGTTCTACGTTCAACACAACTATAAATTTTCGGGATATGGGGGCTCTGATTGATTCATGTGTGTAACTAGGGTGGGGTAAGTGGACCAGGGGACAGAGTAGGCATGGCAAAGGGACAGTTTCAAGATTTTAGATATCCAAACACTGGCATAACACTTCTACTACCTTACGTAATAAATGTCACGATGATAAAGCTTTCTTACTACAGTCCAAGACATTCTGCACTGATAAGAGATTGCTTGGCCACTTTCCATTCCTAAGGATGTTGATTCTGTCTGACATGGCACTAGTTGTCCCAAAAGCCCAGCAAGAACCGCAGTATTGAGGAATGTGCTGATTCCGGGTCACACTAGCAAAGTTTCCCTTGCCTGGGACAGATCTCCAATCAAGCTCCTTTGGCATGTCTTCAGGATCCAGATATGAATGAGGGCGTGGAGTTTTTCTGTCGGCATACGAGTTAGATAAATATTTTTAAAGTTGAACAGATAAAAAGAACATTTTTATTAGTTGCCTGCAGAGAATGCAGGTGACGTATGTACAAGTATGTATCAAGGTCGAGGTAAATGTTATCAGCCAAGTCCAAGGCCGTGGCTGATAACACTTACAGATACCTTGATTATTTAGGATATCACAAAAACCGAATCTAATAATTGTTTTATTATACATTGTTTTGAAGAAAATAACAACCAACACACCGTCGCAAAGAACCTTAATTGTATTGTTATTGGAAATCATGCATTGCGCGCGCAACCTACAGATTATATAGTCAGTTATCTGCTAGCTGATAACTAACTAATATGTAGGTTGCGCTGCATGATTTCCGGGCCAAAATTAACAGTAGGCTTTTAGCCAATAAGATGACAGATAGTGAGTACAATGTATAATAATTACATTTACATGTATGTGTAAAAACATCAAGTTTAAAAATGCAAATTGCATACAGTGAGACCTCTCCTTTGGGTATCTCTATTAAAGGGAAACCTCTATGCAAGGGAGAGGAACACTTTTTCTGGGTATCGAAACCTGGATTTAACCTCCATTCACTAAAGGGGAAACGGCTTTATCACTCAAAAAGTGACTGACCACTCGTTGATAAGTTTGAGTGCACGCTAAGTCACAGTGGCAACAACTTTCAAACCATGAACTATCTACATGAACTCAAATTGATGTACTGTATTTTTGGAATTCAACACTCAACATCGCAGGGATAGGGATAAGTTAATCATGATAATCATGTACCAGAGGAAATATGCAATGAAAGAAAAAAACATTTAAGAATATTACGGAAAACTTCAATGTTTTGGTGTGCATCTGGGCCTTTAACTTTTCTTGAAACTACCATTAAGGTGGCTCGATACAGTTTTTCAAGGCCAACACCTCCCAAGTTTGAGCATAAACTACGTCGCCATAAACAAGGTTTTGGAAAAATTGCCAACGCAGTTGTATTAGATAAAGCTGAAAATCTTTTATGATCAGGGTTGCAATGACATCGGAGTTGTCATAGCAACGAAATGACGCTATTACCTATTTTACTTACAGAAGTATTTCTCGGTACTGGGAACTGTTCTTCCAAAATCATGCACGGGAACTTTTTCCTCCAATAGCGGCCTCGATGTTCGTGAAGTTTAAGCGAAATCTGTTTTCGTTACGTTTTTCAGTCGCGGACCAAAGACCATATACTGTACAGCGTGAAGACTTTTACCGGATTGAAATTTGCTTAGTCACTGCTTGTATAACAAGCTTGAGATTTTTTTTTACAACAAAGCCCCGCCCAAAAACTGCATTATCTTGAATAATTGCGTTCGACGAAGGAGAACGCAGTCCATTCTCGGTTACCAATTTCGGAGCGCGGCTACCGAGCATGTAGAGGCGCTTTCTGCCAGATTCTTCACATTCCTTTAGTTGGTCACATATTTGTGCCCTTTTCGTCACCATTTTGAATTTCACGCTATGACGTAATGCGGTAACAGCCGGACAAATTTGTGTTTATACAGTTGTGAGCAAAATCGTTTCTGTTAAGGTCCCCAGTGATGAAATGATCTTTTCAGTGGAAAGGAAAAATGACAAGCTGAGAGTTGTTGCAACAGCCAAACAAGACATTCAGTGGGAGCGTACACTTCGGCGTCGTGGTTGTGGATTAATTATGTATGCGGAGGAATATTAAGAAATAATATTTTTCAGATACCCTTCCATACAAATACCCTTACTTTTCTCCTCTTGTGTAACAGACGTCTTAACTTCTTCACCGGAAGTCTGCTAGGTGCAAGGCTGTAACCAAATTCGATTACAATTTCTGTCATAAATAGTTGCACGGCGAGATCTCAGTTCCACTTCCTTTATTTTCTCTGCAACAACACTTTCCTTATGTACAGTTAACTCCACCCCTTCTACAGCAACGTAACTATAAACTATCACCAGCACAGTACACTCCCTTATAAAACTTGCTAAAAACTCACAATCTCAACACCGAGGATAATTCATGTACATTATCGCTACATAAACTAGAAATACGTATCTCGCAGCAACAGTAGCGAAACTCGGAGCGCTTACCATTTGTACGGAAATTTCGGTGAAAATTTTTTCCGGAAAATTTTCTCAGGGATGAACCGTGTCATTGGGATTCTCCCCGGAATTGCGGGTTTTCCATACAAATGGTAAACGCTCTCGGTTTTTTAGAAGCGCCACTCAAGTTAAGCTCTGTCGGGCGGGGTTAGGAACTGGATGGGTAACGCACCGCGAATAATTATCGTCGTGAACTTTGTTCTTTGTTTTCTTCTTCATTTTTTTGCGTATTGTGTGGTGTTATTTTAAAAGTGTATTGAAAAGCATAGTTAACATTATTTCGGCCGCTAGATTAAGAAAAAAAACACAAACGCGGCAGTACAGATTGCGTGAAAATTATTATAAGCTTTAAATATACTTCGGGCCGTAGTACAGAACTGAAACTTTGATTTGTCGTCAGGGAATTTAACCGGAAAACTAATAAATTTGGCTTTTCCACGTTGTATAACGAATTCCAGGCTAGGGGAAAAAAACGAGGTTTCAACGATAAAAAAGCCAAACTGAAACGTACTTTGGAGAAGCATATGGCCGGCATGTGTTAAAGCAAACTCGTCTGCGCAGTGAGACGCACTGAAAATTGTTCTTGTATCTCAATTTTCGCTCATATTTTGAAGCTACTAGCCCAAATTGATTCAATGTTTTCTGTAAAATAATTTTGCAGTCAATATTCCTAGCTAGAATGATAAATAAAAACAAGCCGAAAAGTCACTAACTCATCCCGTACCTCGTGCATAACTTATAGCTATTTTTCACATTTTAACAAGAGTCGGTTCAAACCCCAGGCAAGCCAAAAAAATGATTCTTTCTTCCTGGAATAACAAAGAAATCAAACTGATCCCGAGATATCACGAACTTATTCGGCTCTCACTTCGTCAGAGAGCCGAATAAAACCGAAAACCTACAGACTTTGCATGCCCAATCTCGTCCCCAAAAAAGCAACTTTGGGACATTCCTGAGCGTCGTACGTGAATGCTTTGCTTCGTGCTCCGCCGAAGTGATAAAGCCAGTAGCCTGCGTAGCAAACGTTTCCACACAATAACTCGATTGGAAATGCTTGCTACGCAGGCTATGAAGCCAGATGTTTGTAATACTATTTGCTACACGTTATATCTTGAGCACTCGAAAAGGCAACAAAGCGGTTATCATAGCATTTTCGACCTCCAGTCCAGTCTCAGGACCTCTAAGTTATGTTATAAAATAGATAATAAAATAATTTTTAAATGTTTGTCTCAGGATATTGTGTATTATTTGCTTGACAATGTATATATTCTGAGAAAAAACAGCCACAAAACTAGCTTTAGGTTTTTCAATTGTATTTTTTGATCGTTCGATTACCTCACTGTATACCAGCCTTGTCGCTCAATGCACAGCCTGGTGTAAATAAATTCTACTTGCTTTTCATTATACCTCATTTTATGATGAAGCCGTGTCAAATGCGCAAATTCTTATTGCCATTATTGTTTTTTCATTGTTTTTGTGATATTACACAGTAGATCAATTTGGTTTTGCCATCCTCTCATATTGCACATCCTTTCTGTCTTAATGAATAAATTATTGGTAACTGTACTTTTAAGTTGAAAGACAATTTTGTTACCCGATGGAGGAGGCTGAAGTTGTTGATGAGATACCACCGTAACTGCCACTTAGCCAGACAGGTTATGTTGCCCGAGACACTTTTTAAAAAATATTAATTGTGCTTGGATATTTCAAGTTTCATAGCGAAAAACAAGATGGCGTGAATGCTATTTTGAAGAATAATAATTGCATTGTCTTAATGTCAACTGATGGTGGAAAGATTGTGTATTATGCAGCTCTTGGGATCATTCTGCGCAGATTCACCATTGTTATTAAACCTGTGATTGCCCTCTGGCTTATACAGGGTCCCCTTCTTTGCTAAACTGTGCTAGCTTAAAATTTCCTTTAAAAGTCTTCTGAAGGAGTAGTTTTTGATCTGTTTGTAGTTGAAGAGGAATACAAGACCATATAATAATTATCAATGGGCACAGAATTGCCAAATGCATAGACGTTAAAGTAAGTGTAGATGGTTCTGCAAAACCACTAACCCCCAACCCCATTCCTAGAAATTTTAACTACAAAATTGAATGGAAGATACAAGAATTGAATGGAAGGAACAGTGACAACAGGCCCCTGGACAAACTTGAAGAAAATGCAGTAGTATTGAAAGCTCTACGTTATTAGTCAACAATGTCAGTGTATTAACAGTGTCAAGCAATGAAAAATGCGCGACAGCTGTTTTAAGTAATGGACTTCAGCCATCCAAACCCTCACCCTTCTCAATTTTTTCCACCTCACCAATTTTAATAAAAATTGTTGCTCCTTTCTTTTCCTCGTCGTGGGGGGGGGGGGGGGGGATTTGGGGCTAAACGAGGTGAACTTTAGCCAATCCCCCCTTTGAATGTTGCTTCACTGAAGTGATCCCCCCTAGTAACTTTTGACGACTTTCGGGATCCCCCCCCCCACGTCTTCATCTTTCAAACAAATTTGAGTGGTCCCCCCTCTGAATCCTGCCAAAGTTTTCAGCCCCCCCCCCACCCCACCGAGGATAAATAATAACCGGTCCCGAAATTAGTGTCACTGGACATTGAATTGATCTATGTTTTATGAACTTATTTAACTGAGATGTGGCCAGTGAACTAAGGTCAGCAAAAGAAAACACCTGCACCCCTTCCCAACTTATAATCGATCTGTCTAGCCCAAAGTAATAAAATATTTCGCCCCTATTCCTCGATTTTTGACATGGACATTGTGTTGTTGTGTGTTTTTTAAACTGTTACTGAGATTATAGCGTGTGTACAGTCGCCCCCTACCCTCTGAGAAAATTGCTGTACATAGGCTACTGAGATTATTGAACTGGCATGGCGTCATTGAACTGACTTCTGTTAAAAAAAGGGTTAAGCCCTTTACCCTTCTTTTTCATTCGTGTGACCCAATAAATATAAATTACATTGAGACTATAGACAGTTTGAATCAGATGTAATGGTGTGATCATTGAACCATTCTGTTTTTTCTGAACTATACTAAAAAAACTTTAAGCCAGAAGAGACTGTCTTTATAGCAAGATGTTTTTGTCTCGCTCATCAAGATTGACTGTCAGTGCGGTAATCCAAAATGATGGATTGAACAATGTTGGCACCTTTCTTCTCTTCAAACCTTTCCCTGATCTGATAATAAAGCTCATTACTTATCTCTCGAGAATCTAGGGATCCGTTTTCATGAAACGATTACCAAGCGTTAGGTTAATGTCACCTTGAACAAGTTATGCATTTTTATTTCTTTTATCAAAAGCATCAACTGAAATATCTTTCTATCTGCCATTAATTTTCCTCCAACAAAAATTGATGATTCTTGCAAAGAATCATATATCCATCTGTCCCTAGTTTCATAGTTAGTAACCTAACAGACTTCAATCTTGGTTTGAGGACAGGCTGTGGTCTTAGTAATCAATTCCTGACCTTGCACAATCATTAGCTAGGCCTCGAGCTAATTCTGTGCTTTCAGTTCGGTGGATTTGCCCCAAAAGAGAGAAAAATGGAAACATAAGTCGTCAGTGCTGTACTTTACTAGTTTGAATTCTAAAATAAACGACAAGTTCAATACTAAAATAAGACTCACCGATACCTTCGAGTCATCAAATAAATTGGTCAAGGTCTTTTACGGTTCGAAAGACTCCTCGACTCCTTTGCAGCCATTTCTACAATGAGGTTTCGCAAATTTTGAACCATTCACCTGTCTACCTAACGTTAACAATGTGTACAACAATATTATACTACAAATTGAGTACTTCCAAGACTTAAAGAAAACCAAAAATTGCGCCGTGCCAAGTGAAACGACACAAGATCTCGTAAATCTCGCGTCTGTACCCTTCCCATGGTCCCTTGCTGTTCATCACCGGTCAGTCGCGTTGCGTAATACGAAGCTCTTGAGGAAAAGGCTGAATCAAGGCTGCTTCTCTTGATTTCGCGGCCCAGAGCTTTTGATTTCAGGTTATGATTTTGTACATTTCACAGGACAATAATTGTCTTCATGTGGACTTTGAATGTTTCAAATTAGCACTATAAATAGTCAACTTTTAGAAAGATCTTTATGAACATTTAAAGCTTCTTGACTCGTTTAGGCGATAAACATGACGAAAAGCAGGGACAAGATCAACAACAACAACGAACTTTATTTACATGACCATACAAGCACATACAGTATTGCAAAAGCTATGTTTAGGAATCAAAATTACAACACAGGGCAATTACGTTACTTTGATAATAATTTGTCACGAACATCACAACAAGCTGAAATATATTTTATGAATTGTATATTGATAAAGTAATTAGAAGAGTTCATCAGTTCATTGATCAAACCGTTTATAGATAACTGGGTAATATTTGGAATCAGAGTCTTGACCTTATAGTAAAATTTATTCCTAATCATAGAGTATGTAGGACATTGAAAAAGAAAGTGAGGTTCGTCCCGGGAGTTCGTCTTCTATTCTGAAGAAATTGCTCTTCGACTCCCAGGCTGGTCCAAGCTCACGATTGTGCCTTGACTCTAACTATTTTTTTACTTTTCTCGCCACAAGACTCCAAATCTCGTGGTTTTTAGCAAAATTTCATTCTGAAATGAAATGTTTCTTTGTTCAATAAAAACGGAAATGTTTACTCTTGCTGAATCGTGATTGATTCTCCCCATGTAAACCCCAGCAAGAGACTTCGCGACGGTTTTGCGAGACAATTTCACTGTCAAAACCATGCTTGTTTCCCTCGAATAAATCTTTAAATTCGTCGTAAATTTTAAACAGCGTCCACCGGCAGAATTTCATGGGCAAAAAATGTTTAATACTGGGCAATTAGTTGGACAATTTAACAATGGTTGCGTGGCGCAATTATGGATAAACGTCGCCCTTGCACGTCAAAGGTCTTGGGTTCGACTCCCGCCGGGTGAGCCTTTTGTTCTTTTTTTCATAGTCGTTTTGTTTCGTTTCGTTTTTAAAAAACGTATAGGAAGCGTTTTGCAGCATCAACTTATAATTAATTATTAGGAAATAATGTCACATTTGACAGTATGAAAAACCTAAAAAAGATCGAACAACGCACTTCGTAATCTGAAATAACTACTAGTTTTTATTATTAGACTTCTTATACTTTGGTCAGATTTCCGTACAGCCCCATACATTTATCATGCATGTTGCAGTCTCGTGCTATTTCGCGCAAAGGAGTTATTACGGGGCTTAGCGGAAAACGTGCCGTAACACAGTGTAAATTTGTTTCAACGTACACTGTTCTCGGGCAAACAAATGTGTGGGAATGTTAACTTGGCTTCATGGTGAAAATATTTACGTAGAACGAACAGTGCAGTGGCCTCAGTGAAAAACATTTCCTTGAAACGAATGGCAACGTTTTCTGAAGGGAATCTATTTTGTGTGCTGCAGTCAAAAAGAAAAGAAAAATACTTTGCAGCGAAACGACCGGACCCTGTTCGATGCACTTGTAAATTGGTAAACACACTGAACAATACCTACAGTAAAATACAAAAACGAACAAAGGAAGATTTCCGCAATACCAAGAAGCAGCACCCACACTTACATTACTTCCATTCTGCCTTTGTCAAATTCCGGATTGTAGCAACCTTTGCTGATGCGGCTGTTGGGTTTGATGTCCGGGAACTTTAAAGCCAAGGACAATCCAAGGACATTTAAGAGCAGTACAAATACAAACTTCATTGTCAGAAGAATGGAAGGTATCGAAACTAAACTGGGAAAAGAAATGCCAGCTTTTCGTGGAACCGGCCCTTTTTTGTTTTGTTATCGACTCGCGTGGAAGTCAGAAGATTATTACCCACTTGATAAAACTCGTTCCCAGGTGAAAACGTACAAAGAGTTTTGGTATTAAATCTGGCTAAAATTTCTAAAGATTTTCTTATATTTATTTCCACATTATTAAAAATCACTGAAACAAGGTTTGATTCAGAGCCGTTTGTTACTTGTGAATAAATATTTGGTCGCAGTCTGCGTGCCACACGTGCAGGTGAATACTTTAAATTAAGCACTCGTCTTTTATCCAGGTGTGAATATCTCGTAAACCTGTCGAAATCAGCCGTTGTACTTCGTGCGGGATACTCTTTTAAATAAATGCATAACAATGAGTCCATGGTGTCCCCCGCGACCTTAAATGCACTTTACACGTGACCAGGTGGAAAGAATATTCTAGAAGGTCCAGATCCCAGCATCAGTGGTGATATGCGGGGATCTGAGTTCCGTCTGCAAGTGCACTCTTTTGGCTCCTCCGTGATAACTTTTGTTACATGAATTGTGTGCCTTCTTGCTTTGTTTTTCACTCTTCGGTTTGAGAACCACACCTAACAACGAAAACAAATGAACAAAAAAGAGGGGGTTGCTGAGGTGGATTGTCCGGTCACAAAATTCGTAAAGCAGGACGATGTTTTCTCTTAGGTTTAGGCGAAATCATTTATGGCCCTTATCGACCGATCGCTTATTACGTCTTGGGAGGGGGGCGGGGTTTCGGAGGGGAGTACAATTTTCTAAGAGGCTTAATTTTGAGGGTAAATTTGGAAAATGCACAGAATGTGAGGGGGTCGAAATATTAAGACATAGGACTGGCTTTCTATATAAAAGTTGTCAAACTATATTAAGATTGAAGCAAATCCACGTGTCCTTCAAAAGAAGACAAAAAAATACACTTTGGCGGTTCTTTGTCACCAACAAAATGTTATCCGTATAAAGCTGGGCCCAGGAACCTATCAGCTATTTCTCCTACCAGGAATGTAACGTACATGTACGCACTTAATTTTTCCCATTATATATTGGTATTTTTGTGTTAGGATCTCCTTTATCCTTTTATTGATTAAGTGGAGTGAAATGGATCCGAATGTGAAGCCACAGACCTTGGTTGAGACTTTTGACCAAGACAACTCCAATTCTATCCCGGAATATATGTCAGGGCTCTCATAACTTTGTTGACTTATCCTGTGTCAACACACACAGCTGAGCGTAGCTTCAGCGGTATGAAGAGACTGCAAACTCCTTTACAAAGGACCACGACAAACGAGAGATTGAGTTCTCTTGCAATTCTGCATATGAGCACAAGGACGTAATTGATATTGATGGCATTATAACAGATTTTGCCTGTCTGAAGGGTACACATCTCGTCCTTTGCTTGTAACCTCCTTCATGGCGTCACTGTTTTACCCTTTTTTGCCGTAAACAGTCTGTACCTTACCGATAACACTAGACATGGCTAAAATAAATAACGAATTTCTACATTTCCCTTTGTCTTTATTTACTGAGAATGTCCAGCAGAAAACGTAGGAGAAGGCATTTCCGAGACTCTAAATTTAAACATTTTCTGGGGGAGCATGCCCCCAGACTCCCCCAGGTTTGGGGCGCCTTCGGCGCGCTAACTTTTCTTCCCCTACGTGCAGCTTTAAAATCTCCCGCTACGCTGCTGACTGCTGACTACAGGTATCTTATAGCTTATGAAATCAATGCCCAAGGATGGAAGAAGAGACTTGGTCTAGACGGGATTGGAGGGGGAGGGTGTATTTTTAAAATTGCTATATATTGCCAGGAGGGGGTACAACTTTCATTGGTAATTATTTTTTGGGGGGGGGAAAGTTTTGATACACCACACTTTTCTGAAAACCCCCGTCCCCTTCTGGGACGTAATAAACGATCGGTCCCTTGGCTTTTTTGAACGGTGGTAAAACCCTTCCCATCACAGTCCATTTTTTTTTTCGCCTGCTATATTTCTCTCATGAAATTTTCTCATGTTCAAATAGGTTGTATCGTCTAGCTTGTCCATCTACTCCTTCTCCGCTCGTCCCCTCATTACTAAGTATTCAGAAAATTATAGTGAGTCCTTTTTAATTATTTCCTCGAAAAAAATAATAAAATTCTCGAGGATTTTCCGAACCTTGAATAGATCATATGAAGGATAGGTTTTGAAGCCGAGAAATGAATTGTACAGTTTGTTTTTGATAAAAGGGGATTCGAAATAGCAAGTTTAAACTAAGAAAAAGAGAAATCTGCTCATCTGGCTACACTGGGTAAACAAAACGTACGAGGTCTATTTTCTCCAGAAACTCTGGGAGACTGTGTGCCTGAGACTGGGAGAATGTTTGGGCATTGCTTCAAATGGGAACCATTAAATTACAGTGACTCTCTAGTGATGCTTTTTTAAGCCATCATCTAGCTAAGGCTGAACTCTGAACTCCCTCAACATCAATGGTTTCCCGACTGGGGCCCTTTGATGCAAAAACTAGTGCAGCGCGCTCTCAACATTTGTTTCGAACCAGCGATTTCGTGAATTATCAGAGAGATCAATTGAACCGGTTGCCCAGAGATTCCTAAAAAGGAACGATTATGACTGTTAAAAGAAATCAGTTTACGTTACAATTCAAATGGGTTTGTTCACCTGAATTCTTGACTCATCGACTCCAAGTTTTTTAGCTAACTGATCTCTTTCTGAAGAAGTTGGATATTGATTAACAGCAAACGCTGCCTCGAGTTCTTGCCGTTGATTACTCGTGTATTTCATGCGTTCCCTTCTCATGAATTGCAGCGGATAAATCACTTGAGCTGGAGGACAATGCAGATCTAGAGGATAGGGAACATTCTTTAGCACGATAGGCAAAAAAAAGAATACTCATAAGGACATTCGTTGGCATTTACATTTGTCAACTCAACTTATGATTTATATTGAATGTCGTGACACAATTTGTACGACCTAGGCTGGACACTGTAATTTGAGGTAAACCCCAACTTGATTCTGGTCTGTAATTATGCGGCTATTTGACGTTTGATAATAAAATGAAACATTTTAAAATGCAAACCATAAATGACCAAAATAGAGGATGATAATTTCAGTAATTATTCATTCCCTGGTTTACTAAGATAAAAGTGAAATCATATCAGCAACATCCGGTTTTAGTGCTATTCAAGAACCTTCTTTGTAAGGAGACTATGTGTTCCTTGTTCTAAATCACTCATTGTGTTAAACATATGCCTATGTATTTTCTGCTTTTATTTCTGGGATTTTCAGTTGACTACAATTTATATAATAAATAAATAAATTCTTATGACTATCAGGAAACTAAAGGAGCATTGGTTTAAAACTGAGTCTATTCGTCCTTACAATCACAAACAAATAAACAATTAGACTCACATTTTTACAAAGAGGACTAAGCAGGCAGTTCTTGTGTTGATAGCAAAATACTAAAATAGTAGAGCTATCTTTCGTTCGCTTAGTTACATTCATATTTTTTTATTCTTAGTTATATCCTAATATTTTTTACGAGCACTTGTTCAGTTGTCTTGCACTCAGATTTACATGTTTTTAAAACGTTCTGTAAACTGTGAACATTCTTGTCGAGAAAGCACTTATTTAATATTTTGTAGACTGTTATATTTATAAAGAATCAGTGATACTTTTTTTTTATCACCTTCTCTTCGCCTGAACTCATCAGATTTGAAAATTAACCTTCTTAGTCAAAGGAATCATGGTTAAATCATTTCAATGTCAAAGACATCTCCTCAGTTATATATGGTAAGCTAGGTTACCATGAACTGAATACTGAGACACCGAGCAATAAAGTCAGCTAAAAGAAAGAGTACAGTTTTTAGAAACATTTACCTTAAACCAGGGAAACTGTTTACTGCTTTGATTTATTTCTAAAAGTTAAGAATATCGTATAGGAAGATGTGTTGTTCCAGCAGGGAAAGGACTTTGGACTAGAAAAGGTCAAGGAACAACACATTCGTATTATTTGTTAGACCTTGATGAATTGAAAATGGTTCGACAGTCTTGAGTAAATCATGTAATGTGATTTAAGGCAATAATAAAACAAGCCACTAGAGTTATATATTAAAAAATTTTTGCATAGATCATAATTTTCATGGGTAAAAAATTTATAGCAAGGGTGGTTACTTCATTTGCAAATGATTAATGAATTCTTGTTACCGTTTATGTGTATTAAAAAAGCTACTGATGGTACTTGTTAAGTGGTTTTTTGCCATTAAACAGAATTCTAACATGGTGAGCTCAGGAGAAGTTGCAAGGCATTTAGACTGGAAGGATGCCAGCTTTGTTGATTCAGTCGGTTAGGAGTGTCTAGCTTTGGGGTGCTAGAGAAATATTCGTGAACATGGAGCCAGCTTGAAAGCAATCATTTTTACACCTTGCAATCTTAGATGCGAGAAAACTTCGTTTTGCTATGTACCCTTCGTCCAGGATGGTGTTTGTTTTATATTTTTAACAGTTATGCTAACTTAAAAGAGAAAAAGAGAGTGATAACAGAGAGTAACCTCAGCTGTTTTCGAACTTAGATAACGCAAAATATCAGTGTTGTTAATAGAGTGAACAGCCAATAGTGTCCACGTAGGGATTTTCAAGAGTCTTCAGTGTAAGGTACCGTTGAGGCCGTTGACGTTTCAGCCTCACCAACTCACGACCAGACTCAAGAAATCTTCTATGATTAATTTCTGTCCATGTAAAAGGGTGTTTCTGGGAAAGGGATCAACCGACCAGCCACTGATCTACCTTTTTTTCAAAAGAGAATCATCAAGTAAATAAAACCATTCATATTGTCTAGCCAATTCCAAAATGAGTCAGCCAGTAAAGGTGCTTTTCTTGACCACTGAAGATAGGTAACAAAGCATTTCCATGACTTTATAGGCATGGGTTAATCTAAATCAAGTCTGGATTT